CAAGATCGTCCTCATATATGAATTTTGTCTTTCCTTTCCTACTTGCATAAGAACAATTTTCTCTTTGGGCTCACGTCTTCCTCTATGCGCGGGTCTAGGTTTATCATTGTCATAACCCATAATGATGCGTTGGCCTGCATGTCAGATAATGGTGCTAGCTTGAGGCTCATGACATAGAATTCTTGCGGCATCCGCTGGTCGCCATGTATTGTGGCTATCGTTCCGGTGTTGGTTGGAAATTTCATTACTAAGTGTGGCGTGGATACTATGGCACCAAAAGTATTTAACACCGGATGACCAAAAAGGATATTATAGGAGGAGGGTGCGTCGACTATCAAATACCTTATTTTGATGGTGAGCGTGTCCCGACCTCCTTCCCTGAATTTCGTGTAGATATCCATATACCCATTTGTATCAACTCTCTCTCCTGAAAATCTGACAATCTACTCATGGTGGGGAAGTATGGAGTCGCTGAACGTTGTAGTTGTTGGAAGATTCTCCAATAGAGAATATCGATTGAGCTTTCCTGGTCTATTAGAATTTTGTGGACGACGAATTTGGCGGTTTCTATAGTTATGACCATTAGATCGTCCAATACTGGATCGATAACGTGGTAATCCTCATTTGTGAAGGTGATGGTCGACATAAAGTGTTGTCATGTTGTTGCGATTTTTGTAGTTCTTACCACTTTTAGATGTCTTTTTCTAGCAGCGTTGGAGGTTCCTCCTCCTGCGAATCCTCCCATTATGTTATTGCTTACTCCTCTCAAGTGGTGTGTGCCACTTCACGTTCCGGGCTTCTCTGTTGTTTCCTATTATCCACCACTTTGTACTCTCGGGGTCGTTGACTGCCTATCTATTAGCCATCCCTTTTTACGAACTTCTGCAAGTGTCCTGCTTGAATGAGTTCCTCAATTTTGTCTTTCAGGACAACACAATCCTTAGTGGTGTGTCTATAATTTCGGTGGTGTCAACAATGCTTGCTATGGTTGACATTGGGAAGAGTTGACACCTTTCTCGTTGTGCGCAAATAAGTTATGCATTCGGTGCTTCTTCCAAGACTCACTCCCGTTGGTGATTATAGGGGTATAACATGTAAAGCGGGGTGGTCTTGGCTCCCCTGTCCTACTTGGAAATGTGCTTTCTTTCCACGTGATACTACTAGCCCTCACCTCATCATGATACTCCTTTAGTTCCTCTAATTGCATGAACTTCATGGCCCTTTTTCTTAATTCATCTAGGTCTCTGACCAACTTTTTGCATAGGCTGTCGGTGAAGGGTTTGTGCCTTAAGACTGTTACCAAGTGGTGCAAAGTGACTTTCGGGGTTAAGATTCCTTATGTTGAGGACTATCTTGTTGAATCTTTCCATGAAAGTCCTGTGGCTCTCTTGTTGTTCCTGCCTTATCTTGACTAGGGCTATTGGTGAGGTGATGGAGTTAACTGGTGGCGAATTGTGTCCCAAACTTACTTACAAGGGTTTCAAAACAATCGATCAAATAAAGGGTAATCTTGTGAACCAATTCAACATCGCTCCTTCAACGAAGTAGGAAATACCCAACACAAGATAGAGTCGTCGGTGGAGTAAAGGTTATTTGAGTCATATACACGTCTATGTGCTTGTTCGAATTTGTCGTCCCGTCGTATTGGTCGATCGTCAATCTCTTCCACGTGGTAGAGGGACTGGGGACCAATTATAAAAAAATTTACATAATAATAAATAAAAAGATATTTATTTAAAATTGTGTCCTTAGTTCTTTTAAATGTTTGAACTCATCAATAATGAAATAAGAACTAAAGTTTTCGATTATTTCTTTTTCAATATAAATGATTATATTATCTACAAGAATTTCATCTTTTATTCTATTTTGCAGTTTTGTTTTGATAATCTTTATTGCGAGAAAACAATCTCTCAATTGTAGTTGTAGAAATAGGAAGAGTGAAAATAAGACGAATTAAACGATCTATTAAGTGAAATATATCTGACTTCTCCGTTGATTTTGTCAAAGATTGACATAATTCAAGCATGGTAAACAAATTCTTCAAATCTAGATGGTTAGGAGCATCAAGTATAAAATGATGAAGTTGAAATTTTAAATTAATCTTCTCTTGTTTGCTAAAATCCAAAGGATAAAATTTGCTCACAAGTGTGTATATATGATTAATGTTAAAAATTTTATAAACATAATTTGGAATTAAAGCCTTACTTAAAGTTAAAAGTTTTATTATTTTCTTACTAAACTATCATTTAATTCTTGTAGTTGTTTATCCACTGTAATAAAAAATATGTTCACCCTGAAATGATGTTCTACTATAATATAATTTTTTTGATGTCGAGAACGAACATGATGTGCTACATAGGTAGAATTAAAATTAGGAATATTAATGTCATGTTGCTCACAAAACAATATCACATATTTCAACAAATCTTGCCATCCCTCATCTCTTAATTTTTGAATCAAAAGTTTAGTCGAATAGACTAAGCGTATAACATTATATATATCCTGAGATTGTTTACGTAAAGCTTGACAAAGACAATCAGTAATTCTCATAATCGACTTGACAAAGATCATCAATTTTAGGATGAAATCGAGGAGGGAGGAAGAGAGACAAATAATGAATTTGAAATTACAAACTATAAAAACAATTTAATACTAATCAATCAATATTATCCTTAGTGAGAGAATATAAAAAAGTGAGAGAAGATGAATAACTACTTTTAATCTTTTTTATTGAATATATTTCTTAGAAATTAGAGAAATAATTAAATACTAATAAAATATTACCAATGAGAGAGTATTAAAAAGTAAGAAAAGATGAAAATGTCAAATAATAATTTTTTTTAATCTTTCTTATTTAATTTATTCTTTCAATTTTTTTTTATGATATATTTAATATTAAGGAATGAGAACAAAATCATAAATTAAAAAAAATTTGAAGGGGTGGTGACCCCTAGATCCGCCACTGCTTCAAATATTTCTTCAGTGTCATCACAGTCTCTGTCTCGAGATGGGGTTTGGTGTCCTTTCAAAGGGGCACTTAGGTTGGAGTATGTCCGGTTTGCGTAACCGATAAGAATGGATGGGAACTAGTTGGCTGTTCTCGCATCCTTAACGCTCTTGGATTTCTCGGATCACTCCTTCCTTCTCCTTCAGTTGTTTATGGATTTGATTGTTCTCCCTCTTTAATGTTTTTTTTTCCTCCAAACTTTCCCTCTTGAAGTTTTCAAGATCCTTTCTCAATTCGGGTAGAAGGGTTGCTTTACTAGTTTGATTTTCCCTTCTTGGGGGCTTTGCTGCTCTACGTTGGTCATATTTCTTATAAGACCAAACACAAATCGCTCCCTCTGCTTGATCAGTTGCTACCGACTCATGCACTCATCCTTGAATCCGCAATGCTCAATTTTCATTTTGGATTATCGATTCTTGTGTGAAGGAATATATACAATTATACTCCAATGATCAAGTCAGCGATAATGTGATATGCTACAAAATATTTATATAACAAAGATATCATCAGAATTAACATATGATAAAATCAATATAATTGAACCGTTAAGTTAACGTGATTTTAAAAGTTGACCAAAATAATAATTTTTAATATATATTATTTTAAAGATAAAACTTTAAATAAAAAAGTATTAATTATTTCTCTAAAAAGATAAATCTATTAAATTTATAAAGCATCATGATATGTTATTATTGTTAATATTAAAAATAATTTTCTCCTATGTTCATTTATTATTGGATGATAGTATAATTTATCTTTTTAGATGTTATATTATTTTTATTTTATAGTATATATTCACATTATTGATGTAGTTTACAATTACCATAAGCTGCTTTCTCTCATTACCAGCCAAAATAACTGTTGCACTTTCTTTCTGGGGATTATCTTGTTCACCTTTACGTTATATTAATAATATATATATATATATATGAAAGACGAGAGGGAAAAATAGTTAAACAATAAATTACAGTGTAAATTTTTTGGACATATTTTATTTATTTATTTTTAGCACATTAAACATTAAAAATTAATTTTCTTTTTCATTAAAAAATGTTTAATTAAGTTGTTGTTACTTTAATTTTTACGATCCTTTACTTCAGACTTTTACTTAAAATTTTCAACGATTTTTTTGATATAAAATACTTATTATTTTTCAAAACTAAAATTAAGAGATTAACTAGCAAATTTTTATTTTTGGAAGAAGAAGTAATCTCGTCTAAGCTTAATGTTCTATGTTATATTTTTCAATGATAAAAAATAGCATTCTAGTATATAACAATGTATACGAATATTTTTCTGTTTAATCCTTGATCATGTTTTAAGAACAAAGGCTACCACCAATGTAAAATAATAAGACCAAATAAAAAAATATTTGTAATATGTTGAATGATGATAACAATAAAATGATTGAAAAAACTGTCACATCTATCAAATGTAACTCCACACTTACAGTAAGCTTAAATTTACTTTTAAAAATTATAAATAGATAAATTTGATTAGTTTTTTATTTATATTTTTATATTTGATTAGTTATAAGAGATTTGTTTAAGTATTAATATATTAAAATAAAAGTTCATGTAAGAAGAAAGTTCGAATAATTATAAGGGAACATTGATATTAGAATAAAAGTTTGATGTTTATATATATATATATATATATATATATATATTGGTCAATATATTTTTATTTATTTAAAATTATTATTTTCAATTACACTGACTCACACTTTAAAAATGAACATATGTAACATGAGCATTTATTTAAAAGTTAATTCCAAAACCCCATTGAGTCGTGAGGAGGGTTTTTGTGGCGTCGTGACTACTGCATCGTTCACTTCCACAACTTTCCTTCTGTTTCAGTGGCGGCGAAACACTCATTGATTCATTCATTCCATGACTCCACGCTCTTACTGCTCCATGATTTTGGAACCCCTTTTCCCACTCTCACCGTCTTCACCTCTCTTTCCTCTCTCCTTCCCATTCCATTGGATTTGATGTTCCCTCCCCCAAATCCCCTCGCCAAGGGACTCGATTCTCTTCCCACCACTCTTCTTTCCCAGCCCACTCTCTCCGCCATTTCCTCGAACATGTGGCGACATGTCGCTAAGCAAGCCTGCCGCGGTGTTCGAATCAACTTCCACTCTCCCAGACTTCTCTCTCCCTCCCATGCTTCCCTTTTCTCTCCCAAAACGAAGGTTCTGTCCAACTTGCCACAACTGTACTGTGTTGGGTCCGACCGCTTTCGGTTTCCATTCTGCGCCAAAGGGTACTCCGGCGTTGCTGAGGCGGTTTCTTCCACCGACATGGAGGAAGATGGCACTGCTGTTGATGAAATTCAGCAGCTGCTGTTGCAGGAGATGAATGAAGAAGAACGGAGTGCATTGGAGGAGGAAGAGGCTGCCCCAGCTAACGAAATTCAACAACAGCTATTACAAGAGATGGATAAAGAAGAGAAGAGTGAATTGGTAGGGGAAGAGGCTGCCCCAATGGATGGAATTCGAGAACTGTTGCAGGGGATGAAGAAGGAGAAGCAGAAGGAGGTGGTTGGTCATAGGTGGCAGAATCATGCGAAGGGTGTGGGGCAATCTAGATACCAGGAGCTGAGAAGAAGGCAGGTGAAGATTGAGACCGAGGTGTGGGAAGAGGCGGCGAAGGAGTATAGGGAGCTATTGATGGACATGTGTGAGCAGAAGCTGGCACCCAACTTGCCGTACATGAAGTCGCTATTTCTTGGCTGGTTTGAGCCTCTGAGGGACGTCATTGCCAAGGAACAGGAGATGTATAATGCCGGGAGGAATAGAACGGCCTATGCACCATACTTTGTTCAGTTGCCGGCGGACAAGATGGCTGTTATAGCTATGCATAAGTTGATGGGGCTGCTGATGACCGGCAACGAGCATGCCACCATTGGCACCGCCAGGGTTGTGCAAGCTGCATGCGGCATAGGTGATGCCATTGAAAATGAGGTGGGATGTTGCATTCATTGTGTTGTTGAGCTTGTTCCGTTTGACTTCTTCCGTCTTACGTGCATGCATACTTTATATTGTTCATTTCGCACTGTTTTGAATTATGTTCTTCTATAAATTTGAGTGTCTTCCTATTGTGTTAGTTCAGAAGAACTGGGAAGTTCTCTGTTCTTTGTATATCAGACCTAGGAACACTTGTAGGAAACCCATGCGAGTGTGGAGGAAGTTTAAAAGGTTGGAGAGGGAAGAGGGGAATATCTTGAGGAGGCGAGACCTACGTATTACCTCTAATGTTGAAATAAATGATGGCTTTCCTCTTATATCTTTTAATAGAAAAAAATTTACACTTATGTTGGAGGAAGGGATGTTAGCCAGGTGTGGCAGTCATAAGATGGGGCTGGATGTGTGTGATGTAAGGCTTTTTTAGCTGTCTATGGGTACGAAACTGGAGCATAGGAGTACACTACTAGCTAAACAAGCCGATCCATATCTCCTAAAATCACATAGGCATTCTGATATAACTATACGGCTCTAGGATTGGGATTTTGTAATGGCAAAATTTTCCCTCTTTTTGTCCTGTTATGCTATATATGTTCTACTGTTTATTCTGATTGATAAACATATTTGGGAGTGATATTTGATATGCATAGGTATCTTAATTGAATCTCTTGTTTTGGGTGCAACCTTATGTGTTGTTTATTATTTGATGGTTCAGGTTAGAATATACAAGTTCTTAGAGAAAACCAAGAAGAAAAAGGGTGATAGAAGCAAGAAAAGCAAAGCAGGTGAATCTGTTGATGACATCAAAGAAGAGCAAAAGCTGCGGAAAAAAGTCATTGATTTGATGAAAAAGCAAAAGCTAGTCGCAGTGAGGGGGCTCGTGAAGGGCCAGGACGATATAAAACCATGGGGAACGGTCATAAAGACAAAGGTTTGTGTAGTCTCTCCTAAACCCTAATTTCTCTTCTGCTATTTATTTGCTTCTTAACGAGTCAGTACCCTCTCCACTTCATAGGTAGGAAGCCGTTTAATTGAGCTCTTGATGCAAACAGCATACATACAACCACCATCAGATCAATATCTGGATGATGCACCTGACATCCGACCTGCATTTGTTCATTCATTTAGAACAGTGGTAAAAGAGTCAATGTGAGCTTTATTCTCTGCCTCTCATAGTTACCTTAAATTTTCCAGCAGTATTTTACGTTGTTGCTCTGTTTTTTCATTTTTTATTTTTTTAAACAGTAACTCAAGCAGAAAATATGGTATTATTCAATGTGACCCTCTAATTCTTAAAGGACTTGACAGAACTGTAAGTATTTGTCCTAATCTTTTGTTATTTAGTTGAAATTTAAATGGAATTGTTCATCATTTGGGATATCTCCTAGTAACATTTTCGGCATTGTTATTTGTCCAGGCTATTGAGCCTTTAGTTTGGAAAGGAGATTTATGTTATGGACTTCTTTATTGATCATTAAGATCCTGAATTGAATCAGGGTTAGGAAAAGTTTGACTTGTAATAATGTCAATATTGGATCTTTACAATCATAGAATGCCGATGATAAAGTTAAGAAAAGGGAGAATTAAGGACATACGTGAAAATATACCTAGACCAAAATCTTGCCAATTTAAACTTTTTTCGTAGATTTTGAATTCACAATAAATCTATATATTAGGGACCTGTAAGCATGTATAGTCCTACTTATAAGCAAGACTAGTTATAGTGATTTTACTAGGATACTACTTTAAATATAGTCCTAATATAGACTTTCTCCCAATTCATAGTAATACCTAAACCCTTGATCCTAGAAAACTTATGTGGAAATGTGCAGATTTTATTGTCAATGTGGTTTATTAGGTCGGAGCATAACGGTTGAAGCTTCTAAGCTATATCTTTATCTTCAAACCTACAAATGTAGTTCCTTGCTTAGCCATCGGAGGATATCTCTCCAGTATTATGCTCTGTTGTTCTTTTCATAACCTCTGGTACTTTGCTAAATGGATTTTGGTGCCCAATAGGGGTGGGGGTGGGAGTACATTTACCTGCTAAACCTAGAGTTAATTGGTGTTGTAGTCATGCTCGTGGCACATCAAAGCTTGTTTCTTCTCTTTAAACATACTTCTCTCCCTGCCATAGCCAATGGGTTGGCCAGTGTTCATGTCGTAGGATCCATATTTTATTATCAAGTCTTTGGGAGTAGATGAATAGAGTTTCTTCAGTGGAAAAATCACATTGTGTATTGGAGTTGTTATCTCACACGACTCTCTCCATATCTCTGTGATTGAATGGCATTAGTTTTCTCTTAGTGGGTATATAAGCAAAAGCATAGGTGCATTTTATTTCAATCAGTTCTCAATTGATGATAGCATCTTAATATCTTATATTGTTTGTATATACATGTTTATAACCATCTTTGTTCTTGTTCATGGATTCTACAAATCATTATTTTCTTTTAAAAATTTTCATTTTTCAACAGGCAAAAAATATGGTCATTCCTTATATGCCTATGTTGATTCCACCAGTCAACTGGACAGGGTATGACAACTTACTCATTATTTGCTGTCTTGCACATTTGTGTTTCGATTTTATAGTTGGTTATGATTTTAAAGCTTTTTTTCAAACTAATGCTATGTATAGGAGCTAGGTGGTCCAACCTCCAACCAAAGTAAAAAAAAAAAAAAAAAAAAAAAAAAAACTGAGGAAGATGATCAGCATATTATACCCTTTAATATACTATCCTTTAGTGCATTTGGTTGTTGATGGATGAGCTCTTAACTTCTCTGTGGTAGTAAGGCTTGGGCCATGGTTGTCATTTGTTAAAGGGTATATGTTATTTCTCATTGGCAATGGGATTTAGCTACCCTGTTTAATTCCTGTTTTCATTTCTTTTGTAATGATTTTTTATTTTTGTTTTTCCTGCTCTTGAGGATACTTTATGCTTATTGCAAGTCTGCAATGTACTTTCTTCTACTCAATTATACTATTAACCCTGTAATCTGCCATTTACATTTAGCTTCAAAATGTGAATTGAGATTTTCATTATACACAGTCAAGTACATGAATCATTGTTTACAACAAGTAAATTACAACTTTTTTTTCTTTAAACTGAATGTCTTTGTTTAAGTGCTGACTTCTCCATTTTCCCATTGTTGTACTTTCACAGTTATGACAAAGGTGGGCACTTGTTCTTACCCTCTTATGTCATGCGTACTCATGGAGTCAGGCAACAACGTGAAGCTATTAAGAGGGCCCCTAGGAAGCAATTAGAGCCTGTATTTGAGGTCTGATTTTGTTAGGCAATGTTTGAACCCAGTGTGTGTGTGTGTGCATTCTTTTCACGATGCTTTTATCTAAATAGGAATTAGGGATAGAATTTTTCTTAAACAAACATATAAAATTCATGTGATCAGGCTCTAGATACACTTGGCCATACGAAATGGAGGGTAAATAAGAAGGTACTGAGTGTTGTAGACAGGATATGGGCTAGTGGAGGTCGTCTTGCTGATTTGGTGGATCGTGATGATGTAAGTTCAATTAATGGTTGCTGTATATTTGTTAATTTCTTTCTGTTTCAATTATTATTGTCAACAAATTATATTGTAGCTTGTTAACTTGTTTCACTCTTACGAAGCCTAAATCTTACCAGGTCTATGGATTATGAATTTTATACTTTGAAGTTATGCTAAGAGACTTGACTATAGTTTGAAATGGTGTTTAAATTTCTATTTCCAGGTTCCTTTACCTGATGAACCAGATACTGATGATGAAGCAAAGATAAAGAAATGGAAGTGGAAAGTCAAATCTGTGCGGAAAGAGAACAGAGAGAGATATTCACAACGTTGTGACATAGAACTTAAACTTGCTGTAAGCTGCTTTGAAGATTATGTATATTAGTTTGTAATCCATATTCATTGTTTGGGTGACACAACCAATATGGGTACAGGTAGCACGAAAAATGAAGGATGAAGAAGGTTTCTACTACCCACACAATGTGGATTTCCGAGGGCGTGCATATCCCATGCACCCACACTTAAATCACCTTGGTTCAGATTTATGTCGCGGTGTATTGGAATTTGCAGATGGACGCCCACTTGGAAAGTCTGGCCTACAGTGGTTGAAGATACACTTAGCAAATCTCTATGCTGGTGGTGTTGATAAACTATCCCATGAAGGACGCTTAGTGTTTACAGAAAATCATTTTGAAGACATATTTGATTCTGCAGACAAACCTCTTGAAGGGAGGCGGTGGTGGTTGAAAGCAGAAGATCCATTGCAGTGTTTAGCTGTGTGCATAACTCTAACTGAAGCTTTAAAAAGCCCTTCACCAGAAACATTCATCTCTCATATTCCAGTACATCAGGTAATTGTATTGAATGAAGTTTAGCATACCATAATATACCATACCTAATAAATCAGCTCAACACTAGAAGTGGCAAAAGATCACATTGCATAATCCCAATCTAAACCAATTATTTTTAAACGATTGAGTTGTTTTGAGATGTCAGAGTTAGAATTTTTATCTTAGATAGGTGAAGTATTGAAAGAGATCCAATTCTAAATTTTATCAAAATAGATTAACAACAAAGAATCTCCTTTTAAGGAACATATTTCTTGCCAATTGCCATAGATGAACATTTATATATTAGGGTTCATTGCTTGTTAGAACAGTTTGAGCTATAAGAATGATAAAAACCAAATTTAAACCAAAATTAAGAGCACTCTTTTCTTGGGGAGAAGTGATACCACGTACACCCATTTTGTACAGAAAAGCCAAACCTCTAAATTTGGCATGTCCCATTTAAGGTTAATCAGGCTAATTTGGATTTTAAGTATCCTATCATATGTGCTACTTTGCTTTTGTTCATCTACCTCTGTATAAGAGTAAAAAATATATGGATGATGTCACGTGAGGGAGTACTACCAGGAGTGCATGAATGTATTTTTTAAGAAGAGGGTAGTAATTTTGGTAATCATTACTGGAAAATAGATATACACATCATCTCAAAAAGGTCCCTAGATTTGAATTCCCTTCAATTTCAATTTTGAAAACTGGAACATAATCATTGACATACTTTATAATCCTCTTTGCAAAATTCATGAGACTCTAATATTGATTTTATCCTTCTCTTGTTGATGAGGATGAACCTAGGAAGAATAAGGTTGATGCCTTGTGACATGGTGGTCACAGGTTCTATTAACTATAATAACCTCTTTGCTCAAGGGGAACCCCATACCAACATATTTGGAGCCTCATGCACTAGTCTATCCTGTTTTTCTGATATGGATATTAGAATTTTCTAAGATATAAGTACTGGTATTTCTTAGCGTTTTTTTTCATTTGGATTGTGCACTACACAACTGTGTATAAATCATCACTTTAATCTATTCTTTACTAATTATTTGATGTCTAATATGAATAATCAATTAACCATGTAATGCTCCGTTGTCAAGTTTATCCTTTTTGTCATCTCTATATAGAATGAATCATGTTTATTAACTAACCACTATTTTTACTACCATGATTTTCTCTTAGGATGGATCATGCAATGGCTTACAACATTATGCTGCCTTGGGGAGAGACAAGGTGAAAATCTTTGTCACTTTACCTTATTCCCTAATTTCTTTGGTCCAAGATATCATAATTAAAGTTAGAGAATAGAGAATGAATCAGTCTTCTTGGGTGTAGCTGAGAATCTTCAGATCACATCTCTGTACATTTGTACTGGTTGGTTGACTTTTACTGTCAAGTTTGCTGCCTCTTGGGGCTTTGTCCAAAATAGTCTTGTCAAAAGTAGCACTGGGTTAAACATATGCTCATGTTATCCTGTACTGCTTTATGAGCAGAGATGTGTGCTTATCACGTGTTCAGTGAGAACTCTAATATGTTTTTGGTTCCTATCACTTGGCAATTAGCATGCCATCTGTTATATTTTCCACTTTTGAAAATAACAACTGTATTACCAATTGGAACTGTTAGTAATTTATTATTAACTTTTATTCAGTTAGGGGCTGTTGCTGTCAATCTAGTTGCAGGAGAGAAGCCAGCGGATGTTTACTCAGGAATAGCAGCTAGGTGAGTTTGGGTGTATTGTATATATAGCTTAACATTTGACCTGCTTCATTATAGGTTTCATTTTTTGATAAACAAAAAAAATATTTATACATAGCAGAAAACAAGTATATAATACATCTATTTTTTCTTTCGAAGTCCTAATATTTTCCTCTCAATTAGAAGTTTAGGAGGAGAGGGAAGAAGCCTCAATTGAGCATGAACATTCTAAATATTTCTCCAAGGATCTTTCTATAATTCTGGTTGATGCATTTAGTTGGAGAGTATAGTGAACCCTTGGTACAAGGGAAATTTAGTTTCGAAGGAATTTGAAGCTGGGAAAGTTAGTTTTGCATGTTTGGTTTACTTTTTTAAATATGACATTCATAGGAAACAATTCCTGGGAATATTTTTACCTATATCCCAATAAATTGTTTCCATGAGAAATAAGAGAATCTATTTTTTGAGTTAAGAAAGTAGTTTTTGCAAAAATATCACATTGCTTTGATCAGATCATTTAATATAGTAATTCATTATTGTTTTGCCTAAAAATACTGCATTACTTTTGATACCTGGGAAACTTGTATAACTATTTCCCAAAATATTATGACTGACCAAAATTATTTTAATCTTTCCTAGGCTTCATGATTCTTGGAAATCATTATTTCTGGATAAAAAAAACTCCTTTGTACCGAATGCCTCTTAAGGATTAAGTTTGCTGATGGCATTTGACTTATCTTAGAATTCTTGGTAAGGTTGGAAGTGTTCGAAATCTCTTTTCTTGTTGGATAGATTTAAGCAGTTACAAGCACATGCCAACTTTCTTGCATTTCTGTTGGGGGTGTTAGAATTGTCAGAAGATAAAAGGAGGCAGTGTTTGAGCACTTTGTTTTATGCCTTCGCTATGGAGAATGTACTGTTGTGTTCTCACCCATAAATGTTATAGGTCTGCTATTTAGTTGTAGTTATTTTGTGTCAAATGCTTTTCTTTTCTTTTGGTTGTGCGGTCCTCTTTTATTTAGACAACATTATTTCCTTGTTGGAGGAATGTTCTCAAAATAAACAGCTCAATTATATAAAATTCATTTCTATGCAGAGTATCAAACATCATGCATCAGGATGCTCAGAAAGATCCTGCAATTTTTCCTGATGCTCTTCATGCGAGGACTTTAGTTAATCAGGTTAATTTTTCATTCTTTTGATCTGATAAGGTTCATATTTATGCAAGGAGATAGGTTATTTATGGTTGTGGAAGGTGTAGATTATAGTTTGCCTGTAATCATAAACGTATCTATTGTGTAATCTATTCCAGGTAATGGTGTATTTTTCTCTTCACTCTTCATATCCACTGATTTTGGGCTGATCTTGAGTTTTTTATAGGTGGATAGAAAATTGGTTAAGCAGACAGTGATGACATCAGTGTATGGTGTCACTTATATTGGTGCACGGGAGCAGATAAAGAGGAGATTGGAAGAAAGGAATGTCATTTCAGATGATACAGAGCTCTTTGGTGCTTCTTGTTACACTGCAAAGGTCTGAGGGTTAAATTGTGTTTTAAATACCTAGTAGGTGTATATTTGTTGTTTGTTTCATCTTTATTCCCTTCTCACTTCTCAGGTTACCTTAACTGCCTTAGAGGAGATGTTTCAAGGTGCACGAGGTATCATGAGCTGGCTTGGTGACTGTGCAAAAGTATGTTGTATAACTCCTTGTGTGACATGTGCACTGTGCCTATTCTTATACCTGGAAATGGAGAGATAGAATAGAATGTGTGTCTGAGTTATGTACTTAGTTTATGGTATTAATATGACTGGGACAATTTGAACAGATAATTGCATCTGAAAATCAACCAGTACGCTGGACCACTCCCCTTGGACTTCCTGTGGTACAACCATACCATAAACTAGGAAAGCATGTTGTGAGTGAATAGAACTTTCTTAGAATTTCATCCTTTGATACTTATTTCAAGTTTTTAGGATTTCAAGGGTCTCTAAAGGTTAATAATCCATTATTATTATCTGCTTGCAGATCAAAACTTCGCTTCAGATGTTGACCTTGCAACGAGAAACAGACAAGGTAAGGAAGTAAATTATAAATCAATCTATATATGAGAATGGAAGTATTTTGCATTAGGGGACCCTCCCACAAAATAATTTCCCTCTTAACCCTAAATATAAATATCTAGCTGGGGTGATTTGGTATGCAAGATGCGAGAGTCTGTATGAAGATGCCCTTTGATTGGTTGCTGTAATCAAAACTTGGAAATCCAACTTTGAGCTTCTTAGTCAATGTTCGGTAGTTGCTTCTATTTATTTTTTCAATAGTTCAAGGAGCTGGTAATAACCAGTTATTTCTCAAAAAAAACATAACCAAGTAGATTTTCCCTTTTCATACTTTTTTATTTAACTATTAAGTAAAATTTATTTTCACAATTATATCAAGCCATGCAATTTTAAGAATTTCAAATAGCATAATAACCATGAACATTGCATGGTTTTTTAGTTGATATTAACCATGAACGTTGTATGATTTTTTGTTTGATGTTAACGTTTTTTATTAATATCAAATTTTCTTTATATTGCACATTGAAATTACGTTCATCAATTTGTGTGTATAAAAAATCTATATGAAAGTTTTAACAACTTTATTAACTGAGCAACAAAGGAAGACATGGATATTTAGTAGCATAAAGAATACTTGCTGGGTAAAATTACTTAAAATAAAAGAAGGATAAATTGCATGCTGCGATTTGTGATTCTAGTGGTGGAAGACTTCACATCATGCACATTGGTCCTAAGATAAGATCTGAGTTGCCCGTAGTCATTTCACTCCCATGTGTAAAACAGGAATCTTTCTTGAGAATTTGTATCTTCGTGTAAACTTTGGGGGTTGGTATTTAATTTATATTTTCCAGTTTTAAATTTATGATTTAAATTTAAATATTCTAGGTCATGGTCAGGAGGCAGAGGACTGCATTTCCGCCAAATTTTGTTCACTCACTTGATGGTTCTCATATGATGATGACTGCGGTAGCCTGCAAAAAGGAAGGCTTGAATTTTGCAGGTATTTCCTTGATTAGCCCTTTCTGTTCCCCCTTTTTCAGTAGAGGACCCTTGCTGGGGAATAGGATTTGCCCCGCAACTAAACTGGTGCCTGGGGTGAAAAAGAGAAGGGATTTTCTACCAGATAGAGATGGGTGTTGACCCCTATGCCAAGAATTTTAAGCAAACGACCGAGGGAACCAAGCTTGTGGTGTTCCATTCACATTTAGTTATTAAATTATTTTATGCCGATGATGAATAATTTCTACTGCATGTTTGTAGGGGTTCATGATTCATATTGGACGCATGCATGTGATGTGGATAAAATGAACAGAATATTGAGAGAGAAGTTTGTAGAACTCTACGAGACACCAGTACTGGAAAATGTATGGTTTAAATGCTCATTATTTATATCCAATGCTATTGTTCCTGTTTATTATAATTATATTTGTGGTGAAACTGATTGCATTAGTGTACATCTTAAGGTGAATTGGCCCCAGCCTGATTGATGATTTTAGATGTTTGTTAAATGAATAACAGATGTTTCTGGGATGTACTTATAAAGATGGGAAAACCATGCCACTGTGTTATTTTGAAAAGATGTCTGGACTCCAGAATTTTTTTGTTTATGTTGCAGAAGAAAGGAAGCAGAGCGGCATCTTGATTTATTATTTAATTCCGATCATAATTTTCTTATCTTTTGTTTTGATATTTATACATTATTGCTGTATTTCTCATATTTATTTTGTGAACAGTTATTGGAAAGCTTTCAGAGTTCTTTCCCATCATTATCTTTTCCACCCTTGCCTGAACGGGGAGAATTTGACTTAAGGGAAGTTGTAGAGTCACCATATTTCTTCAACTGATCGCCATCTGCAGCCTTCTCTAAGGCTTGAACTATGTTATGTCTGTGGTCTTCTGACAATACCCATCATCGGAGCTAATTCAATGGCTACGTATATCTTCAAAGGCATCCAGAGCCTTGAGGAGTACCTTTGTGGTGTGATAGGAATTTCACCCCGAGTTAACTTGGTTGATGATGCACGGACCAATGAATTTTGATCGGATGTACATTTACGAGACAGAAAGCTTTTGAAGCCTGGTGCAGCATTCTGAACTCTTCCAAGAGAAAGGGTTGAAAATTTGGAATGCTGGACACTGAAGTATGCACAATGAATTTCATTTATTAATTTCAATGAGTGGCAAATCTGACAATTCTGCGCCCGAGTCACCATGCTTATTATGGTATGGATATCTGCAGAGCATTTGATATCATCAGGGAATTCTACACTGTTCATCCACATTTGTACAAGTCTTTTTTTCTTGTAAATATGAAGAGACACTTTACTTCAGTTATTAGTGTACCTACATAATTTATAGTATACTTGTATGAAATTGTAAAAGCTGACAATCTGATAAACGAGACATTTCAATTTCACCAAGATCGTTCATTTCCTTGTAAATTTCTGTTGTTGCATCTGTCCATTGATTACTGCCGTAATTTACATCAAGTTGGGTATTACTAAGTTGGTCTTTCCTCGTTGTTTAGTATCAGAAATTAAGATTCATTTCCTACAGTCGTCCGGTATGGTTTTACATTTTGTTGGAATCAAGTATATAATGAATGTATGCGTGTTACAATTTTGTCCCGTGTAAAAATCTGATTGCTATAGTTATTTGATTTTATTGTGCACGCCACGAGTAGTTAGCGATATCAATACAGCTTCTCATCCGTATAACTTATTTCTCTATTGTCATTCCTTGTATTTAACCATGCTTAAAGAGAACTAGAAAAAGAGAAGTAAGAATTTGTTTAACATTGCTGACGGCTTTTAATCGGAGTCATTTGGGTACACTTACGACTGAAAAGTTTACAAATCCCTCCTTCAAAATAATGGCATCAAAGCAGCGCTTACATTCATTCCAAAGGACAGTTGCATGCAGAATGTCATGGGTGAGTTTTGGGTCTAACTGTTTTGCTATTAATCAAAACAGGAATGGCGCGGCCAGTATGATCCAAACTTCTACTTCTACTAAGAACATGCTGCAAGCATTTGACAAGGGTTATCAGTCAACTGAATCTGTCCGTCACTACATTTTACAGAAGTGCTTTTCACCCGGCCATGTTATCAGGCAACTGAATCTGTCTGTTTGAAGTCACTGAAAGTCATATTTTACCAAAAGCCCGCATTTAAGTGCATCAACGCTGAGTAAAGGTATGCCTGTTCCCTCGCCAATATATACTGTTAACAGAAAAAGGTAGAAATATTTGACAGAGACAAAATGATATAAATTTCTGTTATATTCCAAAAGACAATGATTATATATTTATATTGTACTGAGAGAAAAGATGGCCTGAAACCTAGGAAGGTAAAAAGGAGGAGTCAAATAACAGAAAAGCATATTCCTGTACTGATATGGACACGTCACCTTATTCTAGAAAGATCAGTAAAAACAATGATGAAAATAACAAAATAACTAAAATAGGAGTCTTGTGTGCCACGGCTATGTTGTGTTGAGACTTGAATTGTATTCCTTTTCTGTTAGTCCCCCACAAGTTGGAGGTACAAAATCATCTAGTAGCTGCAGCTTGGAAAGGTTGGTGTGAAAGAGTCTGGGAGGTAGTGGCTTCGTAAAGATGTCTGCCAACTGATTGGAGGCAGGAACAGATCGAAGAAGCATTGAACCATCCTGAACCTTTTCACGCGCCAAGTGACAGTCAATATCCAAATGCTTTGTGCGTTCATGAAAAACTGGGTTAGCAGCTATATGAAAAGCACTATTGTTATCACAGAACAGAATGGGTTGTTGAGATGGAGGAATGTGTAGATCCCTCATAAGATAAATGAGCCATTGGAGCTCACAAGTGGCAGAAGCAAGGGCCCTGTATTCAGCCTCGGAAGAGGATCGTGAGATTGTGGTCTGCTTCTTGGTTTTCCAGGATACAAGAGAGTGACCGACAAAGAAGCAATATCCTGTAATTGAACGTCTTGAATCAATGCAAGTTGCCCAATCAGCATCACTAAAACCAATGACCTGTTTGGGACAAGTACGGGGGAAGAAAAGACCTTTCCCGGGACATCCTTTGAGGTAACGGAGTGCTCTCATAGCTCGCTGCTTGATGAGCTTTGGTGGGTTGTGACATAAATTGACCGAGTTGTTGTGTCACAAATGCTATATCCGGTCGTGTGCTTGTGAGATAAACAAGCTTACCAACGAGGCGTCTATAAGGTAGAGGATCGGCGAGAAAACCGGAGGAGTCGGCGTGGAGACGCAAGGAACTGTCCATTGGAGTGGAAGCTGGTTTGCAACCAAGCATGCCAATATCCTTGAGAAGGTCTAGGCAGTATTTTCGCTGACACAGAGAGATGCCTTGAGTTGAGTGTGCAACCTCAATACCCAAAAAATATTTGAGAAGACCTAAGTCTTTAATATGAAAATTAGAATGAAGAATGTCTTTGATTTTGTCTATCTCGCTAATGCAGTTCCCAGTGAGAACAATGTCATCAACATAGATAATTAAAGCAGTGATATCAGATCCATTTGCTTTGATAAATAAGCTATGATCAGAATGAGCATGTTTGTAACCACAGGAAATTAACAAGTGAGAAAGCTTCTCGTACCATTTTCGACTAGCTTGCTTTAACCCGTATAAGGATTTGCGTAGTTTATAGCTCTGGGAAGGAGTGTAGCCAGTTAACCCAGGAGGAATAGTCATGTAGACGTCTTCGGAGAGATCACCATGCAAGAATGCATTGTCAACATCTAATTGCTGAAGATGCCATTGATTGATGGATGCAAAAGCAAGAACTGTACGGATTGTCGTCATCTTGACCACTTGGAGAGAAAGTCTCGAAGTAGTCTATGCCTTCGATCCGAGAGTATCCTTTTGCCACAAGACGCGCTTTATAGCGCTCAACACTGCTATCAGGAAGCCGTTTGATTTTGTATATCCATTTGCAGCCAATGGGGTGCACATGAGGAGGCGTTTCGACGATATCCCAGGTGTGATTCAGTCGCAAAGCTTCAATCTCACTGTTCATAGCATTGCGCCAACACTGATGCTTAGTGGCTTCAAGGAAATTTGGTGGTTCTTGTTCAGATGAGAGTGCCATTAGGAAGTGTTTATGAGAAGGGGAGATGCATTTGTAAGAGACACGAGCTTGGATGGGATGCAAGCAAGTTGAGGAGAATTGAGCGGACTTGATTGAAGGAAGGTTATATTGATAATCAGAAAGATAGGGCGGTGTATGAACAGTGCGACTAGATCGGCGAGGGAAAGGTTGGTTGATGGATGTGGCTGGTGAAGAAGATGATGTGGGTGTCGCAGGTGAGGGTTCACTAAAAGGAAAAATAGAGGTGGGGCTGTGCGGTGAATTAGGTAAAGGTGAAGAAGGAGAAATAATGTCATTGGGTGTTGGTGAAGACATATGTGAGGGTGGTGTATCAAGCGGATTATGGGTGGTGGGTGAAAATTCGCAAGATTCTTCATCTTGTGTATTGGATGTGGTGTGAAAGGGAAAACTGGTTTCGTGGAACAAAACATTTCGGAAGTGAAAATCTCTCTTGTATTAACATCTAAAACAATGTAACCTTTTGTGCCATTGGGAAAACCCAAGAAAACTCCTTTTCGGGATCTAGCATCAAATTTGTGATGTGTGATGTTTGTGGAAGCAAAGCATAAACGACCAAAAACTTTTAGTATAAAAAAATCTGGTTGTTGTTTGTACAAGAGTTCAAAAGGGGTTTTATTGAAAATAATCGGTGAGGGAACCCGATTAATGAGAAAAATTGCATGTTTAATGGCATAGCACCAAAAATTTGTTGGTAATTTGGATTGAATTATGAGGGCTCTAGCAACGTTTAAAATGTGTTGGTGTTTGCGTTCAACTCTTCCGTTTTGTTGGGGTGTATATACACAACTAGTTTGATGAATTATCCCTTTTGAGGAAAAAAAATCTTTTGAGAAAAATTCAGGGCCATTGTCTGAACGAAGACACTTGACCTTTGTTTCAAATTGATTTTCTACTAGAATAATGAAATTTTGTATATGGAGTCTAACTTCTCCTTTAGATTTTAACAAAACGACCCAAGTATATCGACTATAATCATCAACTATAGTTAAGAAATACTTGTAGCCATGAATAGAGCTTTTGGGAAAAGGTCCCCAAATGTCTATGTGAATTAATTCAAATATTTTAGTGCTTTTGCTTGTGCTAGGAGAATAAGGTAATTTTCTTTGCTTTGCTAAATGACAAACATCACACATTTCATTAGAACTATTTGAAATAAAAGGTTGTTGTTGATGTAACACATTGAGACGGCTTCCAGATAAATGTCCTAGTCTAAAATGCCAAAGTTTGGAATTACAATTGGTAGCAACGGTATTTGTAGATGATGACCTATCATTTTCAATTACCAAGTGAAATAGACCTTCCTTTAATCTAGCCGAACCAACCGTCCTCAACGTGTTCGCATCCTGTATGAGACAAGAAGATTTTGAGATAAGAATTTGACAAGAAAGTGTCGTGACTAACTTAGAAACAGATAAAAGATTAAAGGTAAACCCAGGGACATATAAAACATCATGAATAGCAAAATTAGGGGAGATAAATGGTGCCAGAAACGTTGGCTTTGACTACAAACCCATTGGGTAGATTGATCCTAACAGGTTTTATTTTAGAATATGTGTGAAAACAATGTATATAGGATGTGATATGATCAGTGGCTCCAGAGTCCAATATCCACGAGGTAGTGTGTGAAATAAGTGTGTTGAGTGTGTGGGTGGTGCAAATAGAAGAAATACAGGAACAATCAAAGGAGGGCTTAGAAGAAGAACTTGAGTTGGTGTGTGAAATATTGGCCCTAATGGGTGTCTCATCCGGACTTGTACCACCAGATCCAGTGGCTTTTTGAAGCAAAGTCATCAAATGCTGCAGTTGGGCTTGTGTAATGTTGAGCCCATTTCCATGTTGTGAGTCTGTGTTGATCTCGCTTCACTATGAGTTAGGGTTCTAGTTTCAGCTCTTGCTTCATGGGTGGCGACGGTACTATTGACAACGCTACCACCGGAAGGACCGCTACCGCAGGCGGGTTTGTTGGGAAGGCGAGGCCGTCCCGAGTATTTGGGATGACCCGGAGGATAGCCAAACTTGACATAGCAAACGTCTTCCGTGTGTCCAAGGCGATCGCAATGGCCACATTTCGTAGGCCGAGTGCCGGGCGTTGAAAGCGAGAATCGACAGGTGTGGCCGAGGCGTCCACAATGGTCACATTTGCGTTGTGGTTTGCCCCCACTTTGCTGTGATGGCCTACGCTTTGAACCAACAACATTAACAAAGGGATTGTTGTCGACTAAAGAGGTGGATGGAGCAGAGTGTTGTCTTTCATGTTGAATGACCATGGAGAAAACACGAGGGCGGAAGGTAACGGGTCTAGGAGCGAGAATCTGGGATCGAACCATAGCAAACCTTTCATCGAGCCCTTTCAAAAATCGTATGACAAAGTCCTCGTAGGTGGTATTGTTTGGCGGAGCAAGTGCAGGGGATCATAGGACGAAAATTGTCAAGTTCCTCCCAAAGAGTCTTGAGACGAGTGTAGTAATCGATAACGAGATAAGGAATCCTGTTTAAGAGAGTAAATCTCCTCCTGGAGCTCGAGCAACGCGCAAGAGGTCACCTTGAGTAAAATGCTCCTGGAGATCAATCCGGATGTCAATGGCTTTTTCAAAGAATATAACACTCGAGCAATAGAGGGGGAAAGAGAGTTGAAAAGCCATGACATAAGAAGGGTGTTACAAGCGTTCCCACGAAGGGTAAAGGGCGTCTGTAGATGCAGGAGTAGGGATTGAATTAGTAAGAAATCCCATTTTGTTCTTGGGGATAAGAGCCATGCGTATAGAACGAGACCATGACTGATAGTTGGATCCTGTGAGAGGAGGTGAAACAATGATAGCAGAAGGGCTCTCATTGGGATGGATATAGAAAGGGCTGGAGGGATTTTGGCTTGGATCAATAAATGAAGGAAGAGGAGGTGGAGATTCTTCCTCCGTATTAGAAGATGTTGTATGCGCGTCTGCCATGGCAGCCTAAAGGCTCATGATACCATAACAGAAAAAGGTAGAAATATTTGACAGAGACAAAATGGTATAAATTTCTGTTATATTCCAAAAGACAATGATTACATATTTATATTGTACTGAGAGAAAAGATGGCCTGAAACCTAGGAAGGTAAAAAGGAGGAATCAAATAACAGAAAAGCATATTCCTGTACTGATATGGACACGTCACCTTATTCTAGAAAGATCAGTAAAAACAATGATGAAAATAACAAAATAACTAAAATAAGAGTCTTGTGTGCCACGGCTATGTTGTGTTGAGACTTGAATTGTATTCCTTTTCTGTTAACTGTTTCGGTGAATGTTCACAGCCTAGACTCCCTTCTTGTAACGGACAGTACTGCACATCACCCAACCTTAGTAGCCAAATCTATCATTCAAGGAAGTACGTCCATCACCTGATTGTCCTGCACAACGCAAAGGAATATATGATTATCTAATAAAATGGAAATTCAAGCACTCAGTCAGATCTGAACCAAAATATTCTCACCTTCAGGAGGAACCCACGAGTCATAGTCCATCTCATTATTCAAGAAGGACGGTTTCTCTGGCCCAAGCACTCTTTTAGGCCCCCTCCTTTCTTGGCCTTCACATATTTCCTCCTCCTCATTACTAAACAGTCCCCTATTGTGTTTTAATAGTAGTGCTACAGCATCCTCAGCCATTTTTTCCCCTGACGTGGACGATGTCAATTGTTGACCAACATCATTACTATTTGTTGCAGTGGTCTCAACTTGCTTCCGTTTCCTTAAAATTAGACCAGCAGAAGACTCAATTTTAGATTCCATTGAAGTCTGTGCACTGTCACCACTGCCCAAAATTTTGCTCCTGTCCTTGTAGTCCACAAACTGATTGGACTCATCTGTGTCGTGCACATGCAGAGAGGGCATCGACTGTTGGGTGTCATCTGTAACTCTATCCTTAACAGCTCCAAGCCATTGGGGCCTTGGCACAGCAAATACAACATTTTCAGCCTCCAGCTTGTCACAGCCAGGTTCTGACTTGTCTAAAGCCGTAATTGCAGCTGCAGCTTTTTCTCCTTCTATTGAGTCATTTGATTTGATAGAGGTCTCGCTGATCTGGGTTTCCACATGTGGTTTCTTAACTTTTTTGTTATCTGCCTTTGCACAAGGCTCACAGCTTTTCTGTGCTTTCGCAGGTGGTTTCTTGATAGTAGAGGTATTTTCAGATTTTTTTGGTTTGGGTTCTTGTACTATCAACTCCCTTTTCTTGGCAGCTTCTCCTGTTGGGTCAGCAAGCTTCAACAGGTAGCCTATTCGATCAAGCTCAGACTGAAGAGTTGACAATTCCTTTTCAAGTTGCACACTTTTATCATGTCCTGACAGAAAAGAAGAAATCAGAATGGGCAGGCACATGGCCAAATCTCTACGTGCATCTTAAAACTTGAGTTTGCACATAATGATACTTAAAATGGAAAAAAAAAAATGAAACTGTATACTGAAGACATTGAAACAAACTAAAACACTGAAAGTTTAATACATTAGTTAGAGGAACTCACCTAGTTGAGATGAAAGCCCTGACATGTACACGTCAAGTGAATCGCCAACCTCAACTTGCGAGGCACTCTCTGACTTTGACAACATATTGTTCTTTTCAATCATAAGCATCTCTTTCTTTTCATTCATTTCATTGGTGATGGCATCTCTCTTGTCAAGAAGAGTATCTGCAGTCTCAACTGATTGGTTTTCACCAGGTTTCTGATGTGAAGGCTTTTTCTTGGTACGATCATAAAATTCATCATCATCACTGGGCAAGACAATTGATTACCAACATGCACTTTAGTTTTGCCACATCACTAAAAATATTCCAGATTGAACGAGCCATGCAATGACATTAAACATTGCACTTGCTTCACTCCAAAAGAACAAAAAGTTTCAAGAAATATATACAAACAAGTAAAGCATTTAGCAATTAAAAAATATAGTAATCATCAATTGATAATCAAACATGGAACTATAATTTCAGCTTTCACAAAAATTTCTTCCATCAGTGGGATTATACCTAAAATATTCTTCTTCCTCTTCAACTGCACCTTTCTTCTTCCCATTAGACATTTTTCCTGTCCGTGCACCGAGACTCTCCCGAATACTATCATTCAGTGTTTCTTCCAAGTTTTCAAGTTCTTCCAGTATCTATCCCATTAAAAAAATTCAACTTATCAGCTCATGTAACAAATATTTCCCCACTTAACAAGATGACTTGATGAGAATAAAATTCTAATTCAAAAACTTTTGACAATCACAGAATATTGAGAACATTATATAAGGTTCTTGTCCGTCTTGTTTTCTCCAACATTACCTGCGTTATTCTCTGTTCATTCCTAGCAATCTGAACCTGTTGACCTTGAGTTAATCCACCCTGAGAAATGTCTTTAACTCGTATAGAATTTATTTCTTTCTTCATATTAGCAATCTGCACAAAGAAAAAGAACACATGTAAAGCCCTTATAAGCATACACTATCATAGTATAGGTGTTAGACTACGTGGCTGTGTATAATTGTATCTCTTCGTGACATTCTGTTATCACAGCTGCAGGTTAGTGAGAGCCTGTTAGTATAGTTGGCTTCCTAGAAAAGTCTAACACGGTATAATAAATATAAGACTTAAAAAGTGACTTGATTCAGTTCTATCAAATTTTTAGAATAATAAAATCTCTCTCTTTGAAATTCTACATGGTATTATGAGCTTCTAGAGACTCTCTCATTGTTATGGATCCAAATCCACCACCTAGATCTCCTTCAATCCAAATTTTCAATGTCCAAGTCATTATTATTGAAATTCAGGCTCTTGACCAAAATAATATACGGGAACTAGTTCGTTTTCCACCTGAAAAGAAGATAATTGGATGAAGGTGGCTTTACACTGTTAAAGTTAGGTCAAATGGTCTGCCTTCAAGCAAGATTGATGGCTAACAGATACATACATATATTCAATCTTGATTATTGTGATACTTTTTCTTCTATAGCCAAAATTATCAATGTCTGACTCTTCTTTACCATGATTGTTATTTGTCATTAGCCTCTCCATCAATTAGATATAAATAATGCATTTTTCTCATGATGATCTAGATGAGAAAACGTGAAGTAACCTCCAAAGTTTGTTATTCATGGGGAGTGTGGGTTAGATGGTAAATTATGTTGATCTCTCCATGGTGTCAAACAATCTCCACATGCTTAGTTTGGTGAAGCAAATCATTCAGTATTTTATTATCATATCACTTCAAAGCAAGGTGTGTACTTTATTGTGTATATTGATGACATAATCATTGTAAAGAATGATGCCACTAAACTTTTAGACCAAAAATCTTAAATGTCTTTAATGCTTTTTTGGTATTGATGTAGCATAACAAAGGAAGGTATTGTAATTTTCCCAAGAAAATATACATTAAATATCCTAAAAGAAAACGGTATGATTGATTCTAGTCTCATGGATAGTCCTACATATCCAAATCAGGAATTAATGACACAACAAAGTTACCTTTCTGTGAAGCACCGAAACGGCTCCCCTCATCCGTGTCGGAGTGTCGCGGACGTTTGGGACACCGACACCGCCACGACACTTCGCGGAAGCGTGTCCGACTCTTTTTTGCAGTGTCCCAAAACCAAAAACGCGTCGCGAGGCTTCGATTCATGTGGACACGGCGTGACCTAAATCCGACACGGTGTCAGACACGGCTCCGACTCGAGTACAACTTTTATAAAAAAAAATTGAATTTTTTCTATTTACTTTTTTCTCCCGCTTTTCTTCCTTCCTTCCTCTGCACGTATCCTTCCTTTCTTCCTTCCTTCCTCTGCACCTTTCCATTTCTGCACCAAAGCTTTCCTTTTTTCCTTCCAGTTTTTCTCTGCTGTGTGCTACTGTGCTGTTAATCCGAGAGCACAGACCACACAACGCTCTCTGCCCAATGAACTCCGAAATAACGAAGTAGTTGAAGAGTCACTGTTAGCAATGTTGGCAAGGAAAGACTGGAGGCGAGAAGGGCAATGTTGGCAGGGAAACAAATGAAGAGCCAGAAGATGAAATTCCAACCCATTTACAGAGAGGGAGGAATATAGGGTTTGTGAAAGAGAAAAGGGTAGAGAGTTCATTGTTGTTCAGGTATTCCACTGCATCATGCTCTCTTTTGCTGTCCATTGTTTAGGTCTTTGTTTTCCTTTATAATGTTTCATTTTTTTTATTAGAATGCGATAGTTATGGAATTATGAACATAGAAAAATCATGTTATTGGTTTCATTTCTGTAGAAATGAGTAATTCTAGTCAGCCTTTACAAGATGATGATATCAAACCCCTATGGAATTATGTTACAAAGATAAAAAGTGTTGGTGGAGGTGGTGGAAATTATGAAGTAAAATGCAATATTTGTAATCTTACTTTCAATGGATCTTATACTAAAGTGAGAGCACATTTGTTGAAGATTACAGGAAAGGGAGTTAGAGGTTGTCAAAAAATAACACCCTTGAAGCTTGGTGAGCTAACAAAGCTAGACAATGAAGCTACATTGAAGATAGAAAGGTCTAAGACAAAATTTGTCCCTTTGCCTCCGGTTTCTAATGAATCATCTATAGATGGTGTTGATCTAAAAAAAAGGAAAACATCTGGATCACTAGATAAAGCTTTCAATATGCAAGCTAGAGAGACATTAGACTATGAAATTGCTAGGATGTTTTACTCATTGGGATTGCCATTTCATTTAGCAAGAAATCCTTATTATAGGAGAGTTTTTTCTTTTGCTGCCAATAATTATGTAAGTGGATATCAACCACCAGGTTATAATAAGTTGAGAACAAGTTTGCTTGCTAATGAAAGAAGACATGTAGAGAAGCTTTTGGAGCCAATAAAAAATACATGGAGTCAAAAAGGTGTTAGCATTGTTAGTGATGGGTGGAGTGATCCCCAAAGAAGACCTCTAATTAATTTCATGGCTGTTACAGAGGGTGGACCTATGTTTTTGAAGGCTATAGAATGCTCTGATGAGATTAAAGACAAAGATTTTATAGTCAAACAAATGAGAGATGTAATTATGGAAGTTGGACCTTCAAATGTGGTGCAAATTGTGACTAATAATGCACCTGTATGTAAGGCCGCAGGTTTAATGATTGAAGTTTCCTTGTATTTATTGGACCCCTTGCATTGTGAACACTCTAAATCTTGTTTTGAAAAATATATGTGCAGCAAAGAACACAGAAAAAAACAATATTGCTTATCAAGAATGTTCTTGGATCACAAATATAGGAGAAGATGCTATGTTCATAAAAAATTTCATCATGGGTCACTCAATGAGGTTATCTATTTTCAACTCATTCAACTCATTAAAGTTGTTTTCCATTGCTCCAACAAGATTTGCTTCTACTATAGTCATGCTTAAGAGATTTAAGCAATTGAAAAAAGGACTCCAAGAGATGGTTATTAGTGATGAATGGTCTTCTTACAAGGAAGATGATGTTAGAAAAGCTAAATTTGTGAAAGATACATTATTGGATGATGTTTGGTGGGATAAGGTTGATTATATACTTTCTTTCACTAGTCCCATTTATGATGTTCTAAGAAAAACGGATACGGAAGCTTCATCTCTCCATTTAGTATATGAAATGTGGGACTCAATGATTGAAAATGTGAGAAAAGCCATTTATCGATATGAAAGAAAGGCGGAAAGTGAAGAATCAAGCTTTTATAATGTTGTGCACTCCATATTAATTGAACGTTGGACAAAGAGTAGCACACCTCTCCATTGTTTAGCACATTCTTTAAATCCAAGGTAATATTTTATATTCCTAAATAAAATTTTAGTTACATTTTTATATGTTATTGTAATCATGATTTTTATTTATATTGTAGATATTATAGTCATGAATGGCTAAGTGAAGATTCTAATAGAGTTCCTCCACATCAAGATATGGAACTTACTCGTGAAAGGGTGAAATGTTTTAAACGATATTTTGTTGATGTGGATATGAGGAGACAAGTAAATGTAGACTTCGCAAATTTTTCAGATGGAAGAGAAGGTTTTGATGACATTGATTCATTAAGTGATAGGGGTAAGATGGATGCAAAATCTTGGTGGCTTGTTTATGGTGCTCATGCTCCAATACTTCAAAAAATTGCTCTTAAACTACTTGGGCAACCATGCTCTTCTTCATGTTGTGAAAGAAATTGGAGCACTTACTCTTTTATTCATTCTATGAAAAGAAACAAGATGGCACCATATAGGACAGAAGATCTAGTATTTGTTCATAGCAACCTCCGTCTTCTTTCAAGGAATTCTCCACAATATAACCAAGAGGAAACAAAAATGTGGGACATAGCAGGAGATGCATTTGGATCACTAGATGAGAGTGGAATGCTTGAAGTTGCTAATTTATCACTTGATGAACCAGAGTTAGAGAGTGTATTTTTCAATGATGATGATCATGAAGACCACTTGTCTTTAATAGATTTGATTCATCTTCTTATTTTGAGACTTTCTTTTTGTAAAAAGACAAAGTTTTTATATTGTGAAATAGTAGTTCTTAGTATTTTTTGGTTAGGATATCATATGAAAATTGTAAAATCTAACAACTTTGTCTTGAGAAGATGAATGAACAAATCTTAATTTTTAATTTATATATTTCTCATTTGAATCATATTTAAATTTTTATTCATGTCTAATATATATAAGGTGTCCCGGTGTCCTATATTTTAGAAGTTTGCCGTGTCCGCGTGTCCGTGTCGTGTCGTGTCTCAGTGTCCGTGTCGGAGTCAGTGCTTCATAGTTACCTTTCTTAGATTATGAAAGATCTAAAAGACTTATTGGGAAACTTGTATATCTCATTATCACTAGACTTGACTAATCAATTATATTGGAGTGATTAGTCAATTTATGGAGGCTCCTCATCTTGATCACGAGAATGTTGTCACTTGCATCCTTAGATGACACGGTATTGTGATGCTAATTGAACAATATCTCCAATAGACAAGCATTTCACTACTGGCTATTGTGTTTCCATTTGATAGAATAATAGTTATTGGAAAAGCAATAAACATAATGTGATTGCTAGATCTAGTTCTGAAGTTATGTATAGGGCAATAGAGTCACTCACTTGTGAACTTATGCAGATAAAATAATTCCTCCAAGAGCTAAAATTTTGTAAAATTTAGCAAATGAGAATGTAGTATGATAAACAAACATATATCACGTTTCCAATCCTCAATTTCCTTAGAACCATAAACAAAAAATGATTGTTAGTATGTTCAAGAGAAGTTAATGTCCGAGGAAATTTAAAGAAAATTTGTCAGCTCTAGCGATCTGCTTACAACTGTTTTGACTAAACCCTTGAGAGAATCTCGAATTGAATTGTGTTCCAAGGTTGGTATATACAATATATATGCTCCAACTTAAAGAAAGAGTGTTAGAAAAAGTTAACTTGTCTTTTGTCTATCTCTGGAAAGCAAAATAGTTGTTTTTTGAATATTTGTCACCTAGATATAGTTTTTTCATATATTCTCTTTGTATCTCTGATGTAAGGACTGTTATATATAAATAAATGAATCAGATGAAAGATGTATTAGTCTCATAAGCACTCTTTCCCATATTTTCATTCTCAAGTACTCCAACATATTGAACCATTTCTTCAAGGTAATCATCAGCTACATCAATTTGTAGCTTCACCTCAAATTCCTTTGTGATTTCTCGCTAAATCTGATCACAAGGTAGGAATCAAGAATCCTGCAACACTGTTCAAGAATTGCAGGACCAATTGCTTACGTGGCTTCAATTGTCACTTTCTTCTTCCGTCCTTACTAGCTAAATTGGTTGTAGAAATTCACGACAACACTAGGAAAAGATTCATAATCATCACTTCATGCTAAAGATGAAAGTTTGAGCTTCGCAGCTGTGCATGAATTACGCAACACCAAAAAAATAGATTGATCAGTTGGTTTCTTACAAATCAAAACAATAGCTAACTCTCTCATCACTTGGACCTCATCAGTGCTTTTATGTCTTCAAAATGACATGGTTAGCATTCAATTTGAGGATTAGATATGATGATGGGGCTAACCACTAACTGCTTTAAACAATTAGCATGATATTTAATTGTAACAATTTTCAGAGTAATAAAGTGAGGATTATAATTCAAAATGAAAGACATGCATGTAAACAAAATTAAAAAGAAAGACTCACTTTTTCCATCCTTTTTATTATTTTCTCCCGGGTTTTTTCCTGTTTTTCTGTAAGTTGTCCTTTGTATGACTGCCACGTCACTTCTTCAGCATCATCCTTAAAATTTGAATGCATCAAATTAATGAATCAGAAAACGTAAATACTAAATAGTCTACTTGAGTGTGCGCACAGAAAGTAGATTATGAAGTCAGAACATGTAAAATGTTAATAAATTAATTATGTAGTTCAAACGAAAAAATAATAGATTATCATATAATAATCTGCATAATTACAAGCTTATACAAACCTCTTCTTCTTCAATAGCATCCTCACCCATGCCCCAAGATATACCCTCAGCAAGAGATGTTTCCTGCCTAGCTCTTCGGACTGAAGCTTCCCTGTCTAGAAAAGCTTCTCGCATCTTCACTTCGTTCATAAGTTTTGCATTAGTTTCCTACAGAATAAGCCAACATGAAACATGAAAAAGTGAGTTGCACTAATAATCAGATGAAAAAAAATTACAATTGTTAAAAAGTAGAGACGTGTGAAGAAAAGAATTGTTCCACTTGGTTATAGCACCTTAATTTTGATGTTTACAAACATAAAAAAATTTAAGACATCAGATAAATGGTTCATCTAATAATACTGTGTCTATAGATATACAAATATTGTTTCAACCCAAAGCAGGACCTTGCATGACATTGTACGATACCCTCTATGATATAGTAAATCCTTTGCCATTCATAGCTGATATTCTTCAAGCATAATATGTTGTTTCAACAAGTTTAAAAAGGTATGATGGGATTTGCACTTAATGTAAATACAATCGCTAGATCAAAGTACCATCAAAAGATGCACCCAAAACATGGAGTGAAAGATGTTGCAACAAGTCACATCAGTTATATATAACTGGTTTTGCTACAAACTTCAGTAAGATAAACAAATTGTTTTATCTTATGAAGAGATCAAATTGGTGAAATACATTAAATAACATTTAATGCATCATAATGACTTCCGCTCTCTAATGAGATATCAGACTAAGCATTAGAACTCACACAAGATATCTCCAACAACTATATTTTCAAGGGAGTCTATAAATGCTAGACTAAAAGTCTTAGAAGACACATAAAAGCACCCCATGAAGTGTTAAGCTATAAAAAATCTCTTGGGTTCTTCGTTACATCTTGAAACTTTCCCTGTGAGAGACAATGTTGCATATTCTATATTTGTCTCTACAACTAAGTGCTATAGTTTGATTCTTATACAATCCTCATTTAATAAAACGATGAATTTCGGTAAAAGGTAGGTTTGTAGTGCATGATCCATGCTCAAAGACCAAAGGGCACTTGCATGAAGGGTTGCTTAGAGATATAATACAAAACTGAGTCTTTAACAAACAACTTGGTCTTAGGATAGTTGGCCCACAATATACTCCTGTTCCATAATAACTCAAGGGAGAACTGAACACAGCATTCATCAACTTAATAAAGAATGCATTTACTAAATCAAAAACAATATAAATAGATCACATAGATAATGCATTAATCAGTCCAGAGAGAAATATGACAATAACTTGCAAAAAGGAATCACAAGAAATAGCATTTTGCCAAATCAATCAACCCCAAGCACATAAAATACAAGGAGCTGGGGCCCCTTCCTTCTTTATTTCCTTTCAAGAGAGATACTGAGACACATTTGTCAACAGAAAAGAATAAATGGTCATAAATGTAATGAAAAAAGAAGCCGGGATCTTACAGGAGGCATCAGGTCAGACGGTCCTTGAAAAATGAACAAGCGAGATGACCTGTGAATGTAATACAAGATACATGAATATATATATATATATAAAATAGGAACAAGTAATTCCTTGTAGATGAAAATCTATTAAATCCTATCATCTTCATATCTACACCATACTAGTTAATAACGGAGAAGCCACCTACCCAAACCGTTATAGAAGTAGTGGGATGACATCTATTTTAATCCCATTATATGTGTATGTGTGTGTGAAAAATGTACTTCAAAGTCGACAAAAACAAAAAAAATCAGGAACTCTAGACTCTAATACAAACTCTCCAATGATAACTATTGAATATTGATTGCTCTTAGGGAGTCTTTAGTACAAGAAAAGTTTTTAATTTCCTGGGAATTTGAAGTTGGGAATGTTTGTTTCCAATGTTTATGTTTCAAAAAACAACAATCTCAAAGAAATCTTTTGGCTACATTTCCCACAAAACCATTCCCATCCCATAATCTAACTTTTATTTAATGTGATAAGAACTAAATTTTTGCTAAAATTATCGCATTACTTTTGAATTAAAAAACTTGTATAAAAATCTACAGGAATATTTATTACAAAACAAACATGTTTTAGTCATTTCTAGTAATCATAATTTCCAGGATTCATGATTTCTACATAAAAAACATATCTTGTAGCGAATGCTCAAAGTTAAAGAATATTGAGCCTGATGAATCTGTAATAGAATTTACAGAACAAGGCATGATAAATTGCAGAAGATTGCAATCAGAAAGTATAAAGACAGAAGGATAACATGTCCTCCAACAAAAGATTACTAAAACGAAAATCATAAAAAAATAAGCAAAAAAAGCATTCAAGAATTACAATGGACCATGGCATTCTTAATCTCTACGCAAATATGAAATTTTGCTACACCCTTAAAGATCTTGAGGGTAAACTATATCATATACTCATTCAAATGGACTTTTTGTACGTCATACAATTCAATTGAACTCATCACATATCCTTTTAAGAAGAAAAAGTTCCTCACAAAAGCTGCAACTAACAACTTTTAATGGCTTGATAACTACTATAGATTCTAACAGTAATAGATACCTAGTGCTGAGAAAACTTATTTCTCCATTTGAAATAAAAAATATATAATAATTGCTCAAATGAGAACAAGAACAGTACGGACTAGAGGAAAAGACTTGCTTATGAGCATAATAGGAAAACAACCAAATATATACCTACCGGCCAAATCGAATGACATCACCAACATTCAAGTCAACATATGTGTTCTTTTCCACCTAAGCAAACAGGAAAAGGAGTTATGACATTGATGTTATAAAGTTACGAGTCTGCAGACATTTATCCTAACAGCTGAGCCCAAATATTTCAATTAAATACATTGGAACTTATACAACTAAAGGTGAAAAATGACACATTAAATCACAATTAGGGTGAGTATTCAATTGATCCTTCTTACTTTCATCAATTATAGAGTTGTTAATATTTTGGCAAAAGTATATCTGACTGAACCATGTCAGCAAATAAGCTTAGCTGACTCTCCTATAGTCTACTTAGTAGTGATAGGAAAGTTGCATGTTAACCAGTTATTATGCCTCATGTAAAAACATTAAATTTTAATTATGCTTTTAGTCCTTAAAATTTGAGGTAAATATTTCTTTAATCACTCAAATTAAAAAAAGTTCATTCTACTCCTCAAATTTAGCAAAATATGGTTTTAGTCCTTAGAAACTAAATTTGAGGATTAAAAACAGTTTTAAGAACTCATTTTAGTCCTTAAAATTTAATGTTTAGAGACTAAAATCAATTTTTCTTTTCAATTTTAAGGAACTTAATTAACATTTTAAATTTAGGGGAACAAATCAGAATCACTCTCAATTTGAGGGACTAAAAACATAATTAAGTCAAACAATAAATAGCAGACAAGGGGAATTAAAATAAAAAATAATTTAATAAGAACTTATATAGCAAAAGTGGCAATTCCAGCCTCTCCCTGCGGTATATATTGCAAACATGAAAAGGGTATGTAAGAGGGATCGCATAAAATATTTGATGCATCAAAGATCTTAAAGGAAGTATCACCAAAAGAAGGGAGAAAAAATGTTATATAATACCTGAATTTTGTTCAAAAAGGTTCCATGAGTACTCCCAATATCATATATATATGCATCTCCACTTCTTTTAAACTGAATAACTAACAACAGACAGATGAAAACCTTGGTAAGAATCATGGGCGAGCTTTATGAATTGTTAAAATATGTCAAAACTGTTCAATAAAATCTTGATTCTTAGAACAATTTAGAGTGTCGTAGACAATATCTCTTTCGAATAGTTTCCCTATTTCCTTTGTTTTCACAAGTCCTTATATTTCATCATTTGTCTCCCTATTTACTTAGGATTATGACATTGTATTGGTATGAATAAATGCTAGTACTTAGTGTATTGTATCAAAATTGTAACATGTTACAATACTCAATTATTCACAATCTCTATTCTTTCAGTTGCCTCCTTCAATACCTAATCCCATAACTTAAGCAAGAATGCCACAGTTTTAACCAATAGGGGTCAACATTGACTATGAAATTCACAAAGTTATGCTTAACTTCAATATGACTTCTAGATGGTTTCAAAATGAATGCAGGTAATCCAGTCACATTGGCTATTCTGATTGTTAGGGATGGCAAAACGGGCTAGGCCCGGCGGGACGGGTTGGTGTTTTCAGCCCACCAGCCCGCTTTGGCCCGCCCCGTCAAGTCCACCAACCCGTCGGGCCAACCCGCGGACGGGACGGGCTAGCCCGCGGCCCGCCTAATTAATAAAAAAATAATTTTTTATTATAATAAAATTAATTATAAAGATAATATATAAAGTTAAAAATTTTAAAAAGAGAATTAAAAAAGTTTCATTCTCACAGAAAATATTCTCCTTCCTGAAACATAACCTTCTCTCCTGTTCTCCTTGTTTATCCTAAGCACTCGATTATTTTTATCCTTATTACTTGAATTAAAGATGTAAGAATTACTCAACCAAGAATAATATGAAGTTTTATGAAATAAAAAAGATATAGGTATTTGAATTTTTCAATATAAAAAATATAAATTTTATAAGTTTAACGTTATATATATATATATATATATATATATATATTATTATGTAAATTTTATTATTGTTCTAAATTATAATTTCTTTTATTATTGTTCTAAATTATAATTTCTTAAAATAATGTATTGATTTATATTATTAAATTGAAATAATATATATATATATATTGAATTATTGACAAACAAATAATAATCTTATTATTAAATTTATTAAAAAAAAATTATTTTAAAAAAATTATTTTTTTCTAAATTATGGTGGTCGACCGCCCCTTGGCGGGCGGGCCAAGGTCTACAGCCCGTCATGACTATATTGGGTCAGCCCGCCCCGCCCCACTTTTGGCGGGCCAAAACGAGGCGGATCGGCCGTTTTGCCATCCCTACTGATTGCACAGGTTAAGATGGTTTATATCATTTGACATATGATCGGAAATAATCAACTCCAATTTTGTTGTACTATATGACACAACTAGTTAATATTCATTCTGGTAAAGAGTTTTGAGCAACACATAAAATAAAGATCATGAGGAATTTCATTTGATTAGGTGTTATGGACATGAGACACGTGATCATCTAATTAGTTGAGAGAGGTGCACAGTTGTCCTAAGAAGGAAGGTGATTTGGTTAACCTAAAATCTAATTTGGAGACATTAAAAAGATTAAATTTTGTAACAAACAAGCCACTCAACATACATCAATCTCACTTTACATGAAAGAACTAAGCATATAGAAATAGACTTCCACTTTGTCCATGAAAATAATAATCATATTTGTAAGAAGTTTGAAGGCTATGATTTATACGCTCCAACTTTGGGGGAAGGGGGGTTTGGAATTATAATAACATTTCTAATAAGGCATTAGTCAAATGTAGCACTGGGATCATACGAAATAGTTCAATTCTTTATTATTATTATTATTATTATTATTTATTCTGGTATCTATAGAACTTATTTTTTATTTTTTGGTGGTGTACATAAACGAAAATACCCAGATAACAAAACCCTCCAACACAAAAATCCTTCCTAAACTTCATTCTAATATCTTCTAGTGTATTACTATTCGGAATCCCAAGAGAAAGAAAGTCGACTTTGCTCTATAAAGTGCAATTTTACCACCTATTAGGTTTAAAAAACACCAACCATAATGGATAGATTCAGGGCATAGCCTATCATGCCCAAACCACATGAAAAACCTTCATTAATTTGTCAACTATCCTTACCACAAGATCCAAAAAGAAGACTGAAAATGAACAGGAAGACTAATATTTCATTCCTCAACTCAAATATTCAACTTCTCAAGGAAGCCATGGAATATAAATGTCTGACACCTAACTAGTCTAAATTAATATATCCTTAGTCAAAATAACAACCTAGTCTACAGAGGTCTATCAGCTAAAACCAAACACTACATATTAGCAGAACAACAAAAGCAGAGATTGCTTACAATATAACTGATCATAAGCAACAACAAAAAATTGCACTATGAAACTTCATTCAACCAACAACAAATCACCCATTTAGTTAGTGTCACGCGAATAAAAGGAGAGAAATGGTAGAATAATGTACCCGCATGAAACCTAGAAATGGTGGGGTGCTCGAGCACGAAGTCGCAGAGATCCAATCGGCCGAACATGTAAGCTCCTTTCGCGCACACGTCGAATTTGTCGATGATGGAACCGTCCTTGAGAACCTCCAGGTAGAACTGGTGACAAGGGGCCGCGCTCCATGGGGGAATTTTGTAGGGAACCGCGACGTCCTGCGAGGGAGGCTTGGGCAAATCGCGAGGCGGCCGCGGTGGCGGTTGGGGTTCTGCTGAGTCGCGAGGAGGAGACATTGACGGGACTATATCAGGTGGATTAGGGCTTATGGGGGGAGGGGGACCCATGGAGTTCGTCATCCCAATTCTTCGAAACCGAGAGAGGTAGAGAAGTTGAGATGTTGAAGAAGAGAGGGAGAGTAGAGGAAGAGTGCAACCAAATAGAATCAAAATAACACCACCACCAAAACACTGCAATTGAAGGAGAAAATTGTAATATCAAGATAAATAAGAAAATTAAAAAAAAAAAATCTCCAATGTTATTATTTTCTTTTAATGAGTTTGGCTTATATTTTTTTTCTCAAATGTTAATTTCCAAAGTATAGTTTGATTGTTTTTGGAAAAAAAAATCTAAAATAATATACTTGAATTTATTTATGGAGTGATCATTCTAAATATACTTTTATATTTTAAAAATAATTATTTCAAATTGTTATTTATAACATAAACAAATGCTTACACATCAAACCCACTCTCACACTCAGTGTCATGGAAGCCCACATTTTAGGTAAATTAACAATGCACAACAATATTTATTATAAATAATTATTTTACATTAAAAATTAATGTCAAATGTTTAAAATTAATTTTTATTTTTCAAAAGGAAAAATGAAGAGAACAACACATTAAGTATTTATTTTATTGTATCCGTATGTGAATTAGTTTTTTATTTTCTCTCACAGTTCTATCATTTCCCCAAATTTTTTGTTTTTTTTTTCCAAAATGTTCTCATACATAGTTGTGTAGTTTATCTTATCATTACCCTATAATGCTTTTCTTGTATTATGACTGGGTAGAAAATATTTAGAACATAATTGACTTTTAAATATAATTAAAAATATATATGATAAAATATGTTATTTTGATAAAAATAAAGTAAAAGAAAAAGTAAAATTTTGTTTAAGAAGTTTAATTATTTCAAATTATATAATTTAAAATTCTACTCAAATAATAAGTATTTTAAAAAAATTATATATATATATATATATTATTTATTTATTTATTTTTTCCAACTTATTTTGAAAATATGAGTTTGTCTTTTTATTGATTCTTTTAAATTAAAGTCAATGCCATAATTTTTTACTAACACTGTCGAAGTTAATTTTTTTATGAAATATAATATTATTTATATCATCAGTTTAAAAAAATGTAAACATCAACATTCTGTCAGTCTCAAATATAATTTCTTTCAATTAATATTAATTAAGGTTATTTTTAGTAAAAATATTAATCATTTTTTTTACATTAATATTGTTTTTATGCGCACGCTAGTAAAAATATAGGATCAAAATTAATTTTTATTAAATTTTGTTGTTAGTCTATAAATTTATTTTATATTTAGAATTTGAGATTTTTTTTAAGCATTTAATTGGAATCAATTAAAATTATATTTATAACATTTTTCCATGTTTATATGAAAATTTAAATAATTCTGAAAAAAAAATTGAACATAATGGCGCAACCAGATCATTAAATCAACGATGGTTTGATATTCATTATATTAAATTAATTTAAACAAATTAATATAAACTATATGTAAATAGTTAATCTCAAAATGTAAATATGTTTGAATATTAAAAATAATTTTATACAACAAATATAAAATATTTATATATGAATATTTATTTATTTTGTATTCGAATTCATGGATACAAAGTTTTTTGTTCTAACATAAAATAAACCTAACATATGCAGTATATAGAAAGAATAATAACAAGAAGAAGATACATTATGAAAAAAATACTTTATTTAAAAGATAAATTGACTTGGAATACTTTCTTAAATTACAGAGAACAGAGTCATTAATAGTTCCAAAAATTGAAGTAGTCATCATGAACTGCAAAAAAAGGGGTAAGTAGCTAGGGTTGTGAAAGTTGAGGATAGATTGGCCTGAGGCTAAAAATGATACAAAGTCATGTTCAAGTCTTATCCAAAATTTTTTTTATTACAATCGCAATAATGAGAATGATAATAATAATAATTATAATAATAAGAGTAGATGAGAGAGTAGGTGTGGAATGGTTTAACCAAAGAAGGGAAAGGGGATGGAATGAACATGGGATAACGTCTGTCTTTGTGTCTACAGAGGAAAAAAAGTTTGACCTGAAAGCTGTGTGAACTGAAGAATCCACCACACTCTCTTCTCTCACTCTACCAGGCTTCAACAGCTAGTACTCAATTAGAGCCCCAAAGTTCTCATTTTTTTTTTCTCACTTCAGATACCCTTTTGCTTCAACAGTGCAATGGCATCAACCCCAACTACGCCGCCCCACTTCTCCTCCGTCCCCCCAAGACCCTCCAACAACAACCAACGCCACCACCATAACCAGAACAGGAGTCAGCACCGCCGCAACAACAACAACCGCAACAGGTGGTCTTCATCTTCTTCCACCAGGTACTATTCACCTGCATCAAGTGCAGGTGCAGGTGTTCCGTCTGCAGCTTCCACTGCCTCTGCTGCATTTTCATCCTCCCTGAGTCCTTGGCTTGGCGACCGGAAAACCCGGCTTGCTCCGGAGTTTTCTGGCCGGCGGTCCAACAGGAATCCGGGGAAGATGAACTCCGGCGGCCCCAGGGCAGTCCCCAACAACCAGCAGCACTCCAAGGCGGCTGAGGAGGTCCTGCATAGCCTCACCAATGCTGGTAATGATGTTGCTGTCATAGATAGTGTGTTGCTTAATTACAGGCTTTACGTTGCTGAGGATTACGTTTATTTGCTTAAGGAGTTTGCCAATACTGGTGACCTATTGCTAGCTAATAGGACCTATGATTTTGCCATGAGTAGGGCAACTGATATTACTTTCATGGGGAAGTTGACCAGCAACATGATTAGGACTCTTGGTAGGTTAAAGAAGATTGAACTTGCTTTGAATCTGTTTGAAGATTCTAGGAGTAGAGGGTATGGAAACACTGTGTATTCTTTTTCTGCCATGATTAGTGCACTTGGCAGGAATGATCGCTTTCAGGAGGCTGTGAGTTTGTTTAGGAGCATGGGATACTTTGGCTTGGAGCCCAATTTGGTTACATACAACGCTATTATTGATGCTGGGGCCAAAGGAGAAATTGCTTTTGAAATAGTTGTTAAGTTTTTGGAGGAGATGATTGATGCTGGTTGTTTACCGGATAGGCTTACTTACAACTCACTTCTCAAAACTTGTGTCCCGAAGGGTAGGTGGCAATTGTGTAAGGATTTGTTGGCTGAAATGGAAAGGAAAGGGATTGGGCGTGATGTGTATACTTATAATACATATGTGGATGCACTGTGTAAAGGTGGACGGATGGATCTTGCCAGGCATGCTATTGATGTGGAGATGCCTGCTAACAACATCTGGCCCAATGTGGTGACTTATAGTACTTTGATGGCTGGCTATTCCAAGGCTGAGCGCTTTGAAGATGCCCTAAATGTGTATGATGAAATGAAGCACCTGTTGATTAGGTTGGATAGGGTGTCTTACAATGCACTGGTTGGACTATATGCAAATCTTGGTTGGTTTGAGGAGGCTGTGGGTAAATTCAAAGAGATGGAGAGTTGTGGAATAAAAAATGATGTTGTAACTTATAATGCACTGATAGAGGGATATGGCAGATACAACAGGTATTTTGAGGTCAGAAAATTATTTGATGAGATGAAAGCAAGACGCATTTATCCTAATGATCTAACTTACTCAACATTAATTAAAATATACACTAAAGGTAGAATGTATGCTGAGGCAATGGATGTTTATAGAGAGTTCAAGCAAGAAGGCCTGGAGACAGATGTTGTATTTTACAGTGCTCTCATTGATGCTTTATGCAAAAATGGTTTGATCAAATCTTCTCTGAGGCTCCTTGATGTGATGATTGAGAAAGGAAGTAGGCCAAATGTTGTGACTTACAACTCAGTTATTGATGCCTTCAAAGTAGGACAGACACCAGCTCTGGAATGTGGGGTTGATACTCCCTCTCAAGCCAATGAGCATCAAATTAAACCTTCATCTTCTACTGAGGGTACCTTTCAGGATCAGAAGACTGACAATGGGAACAATGATGAAATCATGAAGATGTTGGAGCAACTTGCTGCTGAAAAAGCAGGTCTTACAAAGAAGGATAAGAGGAGCTCACAAGACAACTTCTACATAGTGCAGATCTTTCGACAAATGCATGAGATGGAAATCAAACCAAATGTTGTCACATTTTCAGCCATCTTGAATGCTTGCAGGTAGCAAACAACTATCCAATATTTCTATTTGTCTTGCACCCATTCCATCTGTAAAATCACTTACATGTCACCCTACAATAGAATAGGTAAATGAAAATGGATTTCATCAGCTTAAAATGGAAAGACATAAGCCATTGTTGATTTCCCCAGGGAATGTAGCATCCATAATTCGATATTGTTCACACCTATATGCTCTGCAGCAATATTATTTTATATTATGAATCTTTCTTTCAGTTTCTTTTTATTCAAGTTAAAGTTACTATATTTGGCTATGATCATATCTACTCCTTGGCTTTGGATTTTTTTAAAGCTTAATTTGTTATATGAGAGGGATTTTGGTAGCATAATTAGATAATTCTGTTGCTTTCTGTTAAGGTTGTTATAACTGACTTAGTTAAGTAGAGGAGCTTCTCTAGTCTGGATATGGTAAACAGAAGCTCATCACTTGTACAAACTCTATAAAATTTCCTTTCTCTACATTTTCCTCTCAGTTTTTCTCCTAATACACTTTGCCCATCCCTTCTTATCCGCCTAGTTATATTGAGTGCTTTGTCTTCAATCCTTAAGTTTTCATCCTAAGTTGCAATTGCATCCTATCCTTTCATTTCAATACATTTCGTAGTCATGGCTGATGTATTCAATGTTCTTTTACTATTTGGCATCACCTGTTACTGTTTCTGTTTTTTAACTTTATGTTTTATAGTTTGTACTTTGACATTCTCAAATAAATACAACCCATTATTAATTGTATAATTTGATGTGTTGGATGTAGTTGTTGTGAGACATTTCAGGATGCTTCAAATTTATTAGACGAGCTCCGGGTGTTTGATAGTCAGGTCTATGGAGTAGCTCACGGCCTACTTATGGGTCATGGCCAAGGCATATGGGATCGGGCTCAAAGACTTTTTGATGAACTTGAGCACATGGATTCTTCAACAGCATCTGCATTTTATAATGCTCTGACTGATATGTTGTGGCATTTTGGTCAGGTAAAATAAGTGCTAAGAAATTTGCTACTTATGCACCTGTTACCTTTGAAATTTTCTGCTTCTTGTATTGTTTCCATGTCTCATCAGTGGAATGATTAACATTACGAGTTTATAGAAGATGCACCCTTTCAATTACATTGATCTAATTTTTCCAATTTTTCTGTTTTTATACTAAATTGATTTCGGCTTCAGAAACTAGGGGCTCAAATGGTTGTGATTGAAGGGAGAAACCGAAATGTGTGGAAAGGGGGATGGTCTACTGAATGCTTGGATCTACATCTGACATCTTGTGGAGCAGCCTGTGCAATGGTGCATTCATGGTTGCTTGAATTGCGTACCACTGTTTTTGGAGGCCAGAAGCCACCTCCTATATTGAGGTTTGCATCTTTCCCTCTTAAAATTATAGTTATCCTTTAATTAGAATGGTGAGGATTGAAGTTGTAAAATAATATTTTTGCAGCATATTAACTGGATGGGGCAAGCATAGCAAAGTAGTGGGCAATGGTGCTTTAAGAAAGGCTGTAGAGGCCCTCCTGAATGGTATTGGTGCACCCTTTCAGATAGCTGAGTGTAATTTAGGGAGGTTTATATCAGAAGGACCTGAAGTAGCTGCCTGGTTGAGACAACCCAGCACACTGAATGTGCTACTTCTCCATGATTACATTGTTTATTCTCAACCAGTTGAGAGAAACCAAACATTTAATATACCATCTCTTGGAGCATTGTAGTGATCAAGTTTTCCTATCAAGATTCAAATTATGAATTGCAAAGTTAATTTTTGAATCATGAATTTAATTTGTATTGAATCGTAAGTGTTAGAGAAATGAAAAAGAACTTAAAATCTAAGTTAGTAACACTTTTATTTTGGAAGCAGAGAACCAAGACAATGGAGTATTTAATAGAGTGCATGCATTGAATGAGACAAATGAAGTTGTGGAATAATTAAATGTGATAAATTTAGAACTGCTCCTTTGTTTTTTGTTTTTTTATTTAACAAATGAAAATTCTGAAATTTAAAATTTCTTACATGAGAAATGGTAGCGTTATTGATTTGTGTGATTCATGTTAATAATATGAAATTACATTAATTCATTCATGTGCTGGAAGACAAGTCGTTTTGATATTCTTATCATACAATTGTGAGTTGCAAAATTCTAATGACTGGGAGACTAGCATCATGCTGCTCAGTAAAATACCTGTATTTTCTTTATCTAGTCTTTCTTGTGCTTTACAGCATAGGTTGATCTAGAAAATAAGTTAAGGGAAAAAATTGAATGTTGGAAAATTTATGCTTACCAATCTGAAGTTTCCCTCTACTCAATTGAATTAATAATACATCCAAAACTTTCTCCCAAATAATAGATTGTGTTGTTATTTTATTTCAATAAAAAATATAATCGAAAAGCCTTTGAAAATTAGTTAACATCAAATCAATGCATGTGAACAAAAGATAATATTTCAGCCCAAGGCAGATTTCTTTTGGAACAAACACAAGGAGAGTAAAATAAAAATGCTTATTCACTTTGTTTTCCTATATATTGGTTCATACTATATAAAATACTTGCCATCACCATCAATAATTAACTTGAAACTCAACAGTGCCTTCAACCAGTTCACATGCCACCAAGATTTTAGTGCAAACTAACACAACAATTAAGTTACACCAAGGCCGCAACCTTTATAGCAATGATAGAGGGAGTAGGTAGATCATAAAAACTATTTTGCAGATAATGAAAATTATAGAAGGCATTCGTCAGCAAGATAATTAACACATAATTACTTGTTAAATTCTAAAGGGTAACCATAAAATGAAGAGTATAAAATTACGGTTCGGGGCAGGGGGGCACTTGTTTCAACATTCTTTCAAACAGACTAAAGTATGCTATGGCCTTCATCGTTCTTCAGGATTTCTTGGCAGAGAAAAAATGAAAAATATGATTGTCCACGTATCATAAAAATCAGCAGGAAGAGTGCATAATCATGAATTACTTCAAGAATAATGTCAGAACTTGTTTTTAAGAGCCCAAGAAACTACACAGAATCAACACTGAGGAGGAATACTCACAAACTAGTTCAAGAGACAATACAACTGCTAAGCCCAGGACTTTCCCTACTTGATCTCTCGAATATAACAGGAAAAATGTAAAAGACTTGAGCATTTACATCATTTACATACATATATAAAGAAGCTTCTTTACAACCCCCTGCACCAAAGGAAGGACGGAAAAAAAGGTGAAGGTGTGATAACTATACAGTTTTTACGAGTTACAGTAACATTTTGGTTTGCTATTGGCTCACAAGATCCAAAGAATAATTATTTATTATTGTATTGGCGCCTGTGTCGGCTGACTATGATATTCTCCTCCTTTTGCTCATCATTTCAAAACTGTTTTGTTAGTTATATCAATTTATAGATTACGAGCTACTTCCTTTTCCTTATCATACGAAGCATAAGTACTTGTGTTTTGACATCAGGTTGAAGACCACTTTCTTGCATTTTTGTGTAGACCTTATTTGCCAAGTTAACATTTCTGCGTAAACACAGACCTTGAATGGCAGCGTTATAAAGAGTGGCATTTGGCATCATCCCCTGCATAAAGAACAGATAAGAGGAAGGTTAAATAAATATCTCAGACAAGAAAATATGGTTAATTAATTAATACTCTAATTAAATTTATAATTAGTTCTCAAAAAAGAAAATCTGGATAGTATCTATGCAGCTGTGAGGTGGCTCCTATTTATCATATGAAGACCAAGAAGTACTAAATTTAACAGTCTGTCGCCTATTTCACGGCTAGGTTTTGAAAGATTACTATCTTCTCCAAGTCATTTTGAGAATGCTTACAACAGCACGTAGTAAGTACAAAATGATAAACTTTTTCATAATTGATATAATTTACAGTTCATAAATTTAAGGCAGAAAATTCATAAATTATCATCATCTCAAGGATATTTTAGACTGTTTACAATAGCACTTTGTACTAAATGATAACCTTTTCCGTAATTGATATCATTGACAATTCATAAATTAAAGGCATAAGATTCATAAAATATTTTGGTGAAATATTGTGTGAAAGTAGTGCTAGCACAAACAAATCTACAAATTGACATTGGTTAACGTGCTATCCCCGTGGAAAAAAAATCAACTGAGAAACTATCAGTCTATCTTCCATAATTCTTATAACAAACTAATTCCAGACAAATATTGCTTAGAAATTTGAAAATGCCTTTTACTCACATTTAGGATTTCTTCTAATTCTTCCCAGAGATTTCCACGAACACAGCATCTAATTACAGACAAATAAGTAAATACGTTTGGACTGCACTTCTGGTGAACCATGTGCTTGTACACCTGCAGTGCAATTGTTGACTTCCTTGCAAGCTCACAGGTCCTGATGACAAGATTATATGACTTTGTCAAATTAGACAGTCCAGAAGCTTCTATTTGCCACAAAATTTCTATAGCCCTCTCCCACAACCTAAGCTTTGAGCAAGACATTAAAACAGTATTGAATAAATGAACATTGAATTGAGATGTTTGATCCCTTTCAATCATCTCAAAAAGCTCAATAGCTTTGTGATGCATATCAGCCTTGTTCAGAGAACTTAGTAGAGCATTAAATGTATATGAATCTGGTTTAAGGTCTAATGATTTCATTGTGTTGTAGACCTGAAATGCTTGCTTGAGTTCCCCTGCTCTGCCAAGTGAGTTAATTAATGCATTGCATGCAACTAAGTTTGGTTTAAGTTCACCCTTCAACATTGTGTTAAAGACACTTGAGGCAACATCCCATTTTCCCTCCTTAGAACATACACTAATGATAGCATTCAATACATTGCTGTCTGGTTCATATCCATTTTGAACCATTTCACGGTAAGCATATAGAGCAAGGTCATTTTGGTCACATCGTACAAAACTACTGATTAATAGGCGATAGGTGACACAAGTTCCAGCACGCCCATTTTCCTTCATACTCCTCCACAACCTCTCTACTTCACTCCAGTTGTCAACATTTCTGCAGATAGAGATCATGGTGTTGTAAACAATTGCATCAAAATCCTTCTCCACATCACATTCACTTTCTAGTTCTCTGAAGAATCTAAGTGCTGAATCACAACCATGAGCTTTTGCATGTGCCATAAGAATCAAGCTATAAGTATGTTCTGTAGTTATCCCTTTGGCCCTAGTAAAATTGAACACTTTTAAGCAATTATCAAACCTCCCATTTCTCAAAAGGCTAGAAATAAGAGAATTACACGCATGGATATTAGGAGAAAGACCCGATAATTCCATAGACCTAAAATACACCATTGCACTTCTAATCTTGTTAGTTCGGCTAAGCACCACAATCCTATTAGACAACACATTCTCATCCATCTCCTCAAGAAAAATTGTCCCATGCTCCTTCATTAGTCCCATCCCCTCTGGAGATGATAAAGTAGTCTCCACGGTTCTAGAATCACGGCGTCCATTATCTTCTGCTTCTCCCCAGGTAGGCAACTCCTTCTTGGCCCCAATATACGCATCCCCATTTGCTCTTTTTCCGGCATTGTTGTCATCAACATTATCATCTTGTGCTCTTCCCCAGGGAGGCAATTCCTTCTTGGCGACAAAATATGCATCCCCGTTTGTTGTTCTTTCAACATTATCATTGTTTTTGTAGTCAAAACCATAGTCGCCATCTTCAGCTTCTCTCCAGGTACGCCATTCCTTCTTGGCCACAAAATATGCGCCACCATTTGCTTTTCTCTCAGCATTGTCATTGTCATTGTTATTTCCGTCATCCTCTTCATCTTCTTTGAATTCCCCCCAGGGAGCCAATTCCTTATTGGACACAAAATATGCATCAGCACCTATTCTTTCATCATTACCATCATCATCATTCAGTTTTGCTACTCCCCACGAATGTAAGTCCTCCTTGGACACTACAGATGTACCAAATGCTTCTTTAACTTCAAAATCATCATCGTCGTCATCATCATCTTCTTCTTCTTCTTCCAGTTCTACTTCTCCCCAAGGACACAATTCATCCTTGGACACTATACTTGTATTAAATTTTCCTCTTCCTTCAATATCATCACCATCTTCCAGCTCTACTTCTCCCCAAGGAGGAAATTCCTTCTTGGACACAAAAGAGGTGGCATCAGCTATTTCTCTTCCCTCAAAAACAACACCATCATCACATTCTTCTTCTTGCTCACACAGGCCAGAGTAGTCAACAGCAGGAATCGAGTCCCTAGGCTTTGGAGTGGACTTATGAAACCCTGTTGACCCAATTGAGTATTTCGGGTGTGACAAGAAAACAAGACCAAGGTAGCTATCACGCGTTCTCACATAAGCTTTGGTACGAGTAGGAGCACTAAGAAAGGGAGAATAAGAAAGCTTGTGAAGAAAAATGTGAAACTGAAACGGGAAACTCAACAAAAGGGGCATATCAATAAACTACAATGAAGGAACCACCGAGAATGAAACAACAAAGCATGACCCAATATATGATACGTTAAGAATTAAAAGAAAAATATGAACTTTGAGAAGTTGAGAAAGCGTAAAGGACCAGCAGCTGTGTCTCTGGCAAAGCTGAGAAGAAGCTCTGGATAGAGGCGTGGATCAAGATGAACCCTTTTGATTTTAGCCGTTGGATGTGTGAGTTGTTAGATGTACGGATAGGATTGAATATGATCTCTTGGTTTGGATGGTAACAAATTATTTGAGGATTGCAATTTTTCTCTTCACCATTATATGGCAATAACCTAACTAATCAGGTTTAGTGGGGTCGATTATCTTAACCATATTTTTATGAACAATATTCGAATTCCAAACCTTGTTCAAGAGAATTATATGTTGGTCGAAGATTCCAATTTGATCTTGAAAAAAATGTAAAATTATAGTATTTACAAAAATTAAGATGATGAAAAAAAAAAATTATAGCTTAAAATTAAATCAGTGACAGAAAATAATTTAGTGACGAAAACTAAAATATAAGGATAGGATTTTAAATTGGAGGATAGTTTTTCAAGAATTAACGTGGCTTTTAAGCCGTGATAATGTGATATAAGATAAGACAAGATAATAGTGAAATATTTTTTTTATATAATTATTAACCCAAATAACATTTTAAGAGAAATGTTATACTCACATTTTATATTTTTTTTAATTATAAAAAAGTATGAAACTCGATTTATATTTAGTTGTTTTCTCTATTAACTTTGCAATTTTTTTAATGTATTTTAACTACTACAAAAATTGTATCTAGAAGAGTGTTCTTGCCATTTTTCATTTATTTTATTTAAAATTGTATCTAGAAGAGTATTTAAAATTGTAAGTTTTTTCAAACTCACATAACTTTAAAGGTTCCTTAGAAATTTAGATCCATTTTTCTTTTCTTCTCAAAATCTTACATAAAAACGTACTAAAAATAAATAAAACTTATCCTTAAAAAAAATAGAACTGTTCTTTTAAGTAAAACAAAAGTGTTTCTTTTCATGAAAAATAATAAATTGAAACAAAACGAACATTTAATTCTGCTGACAAGCAATAAGTTATGAAATTCATTTACATTTAAGTGTATGGAACGTTGTTCTTGCTATTGAACTGAAATTGTCACATAATGACCATTAATTAATGATATTCAAAGCATAATTCTTCATGGTTTAAACTCCAGTTTTCACCAAATATTGAACCAGAACAACCCATTCGTATCAAGACTAATTTCTCCAAAAACATGTCTCATTTTAGACCCACCACACCAAGGGAGTCCAAATCAAACTTTGATGAGCTTCGGTGGGTGAATCAAATACGTGAAACTCTTAATGAAGTGTTTGATGATGATGATCAATTCTTTGTGTCCATCTTCAATGTGCCTAAGCCCCTTATGGATACTGATCCAGATTCTTATATCCCTCAGCAAGTTTCCATAGGACCTTATCATTATTGGCGTCAAGAACTCTATGAGATGGAGAGATATAAAATTGCTTCAGCAAAAAGATTCCAAGAACAACTACAAAGCCTCAAGTTAGAACACATAGTTAACCAATTGATAAAGTTGGAACATAGGATAAGAGCATGCTACCACAGGTACTTGAATTTTAATGGTGAAACATTGATGTGGATGGTGACCATTGATGCCTCCTTTTTGCTTGAATTTCTTCAAGTTTATACCATTCAAGATGGAGCAATGGTCATACCAGGAGTTTCATCAAGAATGTCTCACTTGATGGATTATGCTGGGAGGAGAATTGCTCATAATGCAATCTTGAAGGACATAGTAATGCTTGAAAACCAAATTCCACTATTTGTGTTGAGAAAGATGTTGGAGTTTAAATTCTCATCAATAGAATTAGCAGATGACATGCTGCTTTTCATGTTGATAGGATTGTTTAAACATCTTTCTCCCTTCAAGGTGACAGAGAAGGATTATCCAGAGATCATTGTTTCAGAGTGTGCACATTTGCTAGATTTTTTGTATGCCATGATTGTGCCTAAATTGGAAGAACAATCAGATGTAGTCCAATTAGAGGATCAACACGAAGATAATGAGGATAATGAAGAATCATTCTTGAACTATGTCAAGCATTTTCTATGTGAGGTTTGGAGCTTTCTTTCAAAATTGGCTACAACATTAATAAGCTTAATTAAGAAAGTCCTGCAATGTAGAACAATGAAAGTTATCACTTGGTTGCCTTGGACGATAATTTCTAACCTTCCTGGAGTAGGACTTATAAAGCAACCTGTTGAATACTTACTTTTCTCTAAAGATAAAGAAGAAACCACGGCAGAAAATGGGAATTTAAACTCAGATAATGCCAATAAACCACCCTTGATGGAGGAAATTGCTATTCCTTCAGTGACAGAACTCTCCAATTCTGGGGTTTGTTTCATGGCTACCAATGGAGACATATCAACAATTGGATTTGACGTAAAAACAGTAACACTGTACCTTCCAACAATTGGTTTAGACATAAACAGTGAAGTGTTATTGAGAAATTTAGTTGCTTATGAAGCATCAACTGCGTCAGGGTCAATGGTTTTCACCCGTTACACTGAATTGATGAATGGGATAATAGACTATGAGGAAGATGCAAAGATTCTTAGAGAAAAAGGGATTATTTTGAATCACTTGAAGAGTGATGAAGAGGTGGCTACCCTGTGGAATGGGATGACCAAGTCCATTAAATTGACAAGGGTGCCATTCCTGGATAAAGTCATTGAAGATGTTAACCAGCATTATAATGGTAGAGCGTGTATCAAAGTTTTGAAATTCATGAAGCTTTATGTATTTGCTTCATGGCAATTTCTAACATTTCTTGCTGCCGTCTTTCTCTTGTTCTTGATGTCCTTGCAAGTGTTCTGCTCTTTCTATAAATGCAATCGCAGGAATCACGTCAGTGAGACTAAATGAATCACTTGAGGTAATTATATTCTCCCTGCAATTTCTTCTACTTTTTAGAAATAGCATGAAAAATTTTAGCATCGACAAATTAAGTCATATCAATGGTTTATACTTCATCGAAGGAGAAGCATAAGATAACAAGCTATGTTCCGCCGGATTGTAAATTTCTTCTTCCAATCCTTTTTGGTTAAAAGTTAACACAAATAGACCCTTTTACCTATGAATTCCCCTCAATCTTTTCCATTTTTCCTATAGAACTCCAGATGAAAAACTAGTTTTGTTCTTGCCTTTGCTACATGAATTTGTGGAATTGAAATAAAATATATATTCTTGCCAGGACTAAGTTAACTTCCGCAAGATCGAGATATCTTTTGCTTATGATTGATATGTCTTATTCTTTTAGTCAAGATATCTTTTTTTTTTCCTTTCAAGTCGAAATGTATCCATTGTTATATTCAAAAGTTGGACCGACAAACATGTTTCTTATGGAAGATTCTTCTGTGCTCAGTTAAATGAAGAATTGACAAGGTAATAATTGTGTAAACATCTGATTAAAGATATAATCATCTAATTAGTTCTTTGATAAGATTATCACCATGTAATACAGAAATTTAGTCGAAATCTTTAAATGTAGGGGTATCTGTCTTTCCATTTAGGATTAGAATCCGGTATTGTATAATTTTTATTCCCCTTTACCATCTGGTCTTCTGGCTTTTTGCAAATATAAGTACAAGTTTTTATAAGCATATTCATATTCATGTTAAAATTCAAAGGTTCTGCAAATGAGTTACTAACAACATTTCCAAAAGATAGTCACCATCAAGTTACCACTGCATAATTTGAAAAAATCTGCTTTCAGGGAAAATGAGTATACCAGGTAATTCTCAAATCTACCATTCAATTTCTTCAGCAAATAGTAAAAGAGAAGGGGCCGGAGAATATAAATGGAAGCTACAGTTTTCTCGCGTCCAATTCTTGAAATGTATATCATTCTTTAAACCAATCATTCATTTTCACCCAATACAATACATACAAAATGCCAACAAAGGTTTCTACTATGACATTTGAGGAGGAACAAATCAGGGAAAGGGAAAGAGAGTACTGTTCGATAGAAATTTTCAACTACTACAACAAATGGCAAATTACAAAGGAGGTTGAAAGCATGTTGCAGGTTGAAACACTTCTGAAGCACATTTGTACACAGGGTAGCTTCTCTGTTTATTCAAATCAACCCATCATATCCTCTATGAAATCCCGGATTTTATAATTGACAAATAACCCTGTCAATTCAGTTCCTCACATCTAGAATGATGGCGCCATCATTCCCGTGAAGCTTGGTTCTGCTTGATCAAGGCATAGGCATCACTGTATATAGCCACCAAGTTGGAGAAGACTGCCAAGACTATCATAGCAACAGATAAAATCTTGTCCGATTTAGTTGCAATGTTGTAGCGGTCCCTGCATGGACAAAATGATGGTTGGAAATATGTTAAATAGGAATCAGCAAAAGCATAAACACAAAAACAATTGTAGTATTCAGCGCAGCTATCTAAGTGGAAACTAATCCTCCCAAATTTCCATCATTTTTGCCCAATTATTTTGTAATGTTTTAACATAATTTCTTTGTATGGTACTGCACATTCCACAACTAAGGCCTTGTTTGAATAAATTCCTCTACAAGTATTTTTCAGACAAGAAAATAAAAAGGTAAAATGAATTGAGTTTTTCCCATTAGTTAAAATCGGTATAAATTCAACTTTTATAGATGTCCTCTCATCTGACTCCTCCAAAAGTTGAAATCACAATGATTTGAAGTTTTTACTTACGGGAGAAGTATAATTCATTTTACCTTCTTAATTTCTTCTCTTATTAAGTCCTTACAGAGAAAGCCTATAAATACAAAGCTTTTAAGTGCATTTTCAGTCTGCTATGTCAGGGATCCAACAACAATCAAAATCCTGAAAGTATTCAAAACAGTGACCAACTCACCTAAGAGTGATGGCAGCTGGAAAAATGAATCCTATACAGACTGCGGCAGTTGCTCCAGTAAACTGGAAAGCATCCCAAATGCTGGGTATGAAATTTGCTCCAAGAAAGATAGCACCAATAAGGGCAATAGTCAAAGATGCAAATCTGAAGTTATCCAGAACCAGAGGCCTTGATGAAGGGAAGAGGAGACCATCTATATTGAGCCGCAATGGATAGAAGACAACTGGGAATACAAGCATCAGGTGTGCTGCGTAGCTTATACGAACAGCATCATTGAGAACAGAACCAAAAGGGATTCCAAGATCGGTATCGAAATTTGCCAGCACATCATCAAGAGTTCCTTCGCCAAATAGGAGGAACCCAAAGAAGCTTATCATTACATAAACTGAAGAGCATAGAACCAGGGCAGTTTGTACAACCCCTCGCATCTGTGAGGAATCCTCAAGTTCATTGTCTATGCTGTGAACTGCAGAAGAAAAAAAATGCACAAATATCAGAACTTGAAAACCCACTTAATGCAACCATCTGACTTTGAAACAAATAAAAAACTAGCATATTAAAACATCAAAACAATCAAACAAGTATAGGCTGCATACCATTGTAGTGACAGATATAGGCAGTCACAAACACAGGAACTACAGTGAATAGTCTAAAGAATGATGCCACATCTGTGGTGACCGGGAAGAGTCTGGGCATCGCAACGCCTCCACTTATTATCTTGACAACTGCAATTCCCACAGCAATGACTAGAAAAACAACTGCTAGTGCGACTGAAAGGGCTGATGTGAATCTCAATGAATCTGCAACCACGGATCAGGCATGTAAATTCACCAGTATTCATTCTAAAAGATGACGCTAAACAGATCAACATAAGAATACACACATCACACGAATTGAACATTAAAAAATTACTGCTGAAGGAATTTAATATATTGCAACCAAAATGCAAGATTTTTTATCATGGTATATAAGGCAAAAACAACATAAACACTTCCAAAATTCTCTCAACTAAATTTCTACCATAAAATAAATTTTTTCAAACATGACCAAACTGTAACAGAAAGCTACCACTATTAACAAGCAATTATTGAAATGCCCTGCTCATCTTAAACTTTAATGGTATATTAAGTTGGCTTTTATGCATCATGGTTAAGCATACATCCTAGTTATCTCAGTCATTTCTCAACAACAGCAAATGACACAACTAACCATTTTTTATTGTTTCAATCAAATGAACAACACTCACCAATTCTTTTAAAGCTTGCGAGGGGTGCAAATATGGCGAGTGTTGTAAAAAGTACAACCAATGTTCGCCCTGTCCACCAGTGCACGCCAAACCATCCTTCAAGGATACCATAGTGATGATTTCCACCGGAAGATGTTCCAGAGAGCACATCACCTGCATGATGAACCATTTTCAACTAAATTAGACAACCATACAGATCATGTTTCTAGAGTTCATGGTTAAAACCTAAGCCCATATAACAATAAACATCCACCCAAATAAAGAGAAGTACTAAACTCAAGAAATGGGTCATACCGATTATAATCATGTAAACAATCAGCACACCAATGTTATTGATTATAACACATATCTGCACCAGCGCTTTTCCATACTTCCCAAAGGAATCCCCCATGAGACCAGCATAAGAAACAGACTTCCCTGCCCGGGTAAACCTAATCAAAAGCTCAATTGACTTCTCTGTCAACAAGGCCATGATGATGATAGCAAGAAGGCCGGGCACCAATCCCAACTGTTTCAAGGTTGCAGGCAAGGCCATGATTCCAGCACCAATAATTGTGGTGGATAAGTTAAAAACAGCCCCAGAAAATGAAGCTCCATTGAAATCATCAAACCCAGCAGCACTCTCCTGAACCTGACTTTTTGGCAACAAAGGTGCATTCTCATAAACCGCTGCCTTGTTCTTCCTCGATTTCTTCTTCTCTGTCTTAGGTGCTAAACTACCAATCGTCATTATTAGGTTTCAAACTTTGGAAAGTCTCAAAGCAACCTAAAATATCTGAAAAACAAAAACCCAACGTCAACAACAAAATACCATACCCAGCGATTGAATAGAATCAAAGATACAAACTTTTTGAGCAAAAAACAGTTCAGGTCAGTTCAATCCAATACCTGATACATAAAATACCCCAATTCAAGCAAATACTATCGGAAACCCACGAGGGAGTTGAATGCTGAAGGGGAAGAAAGGAAATAACTTTCAAACCGAGCAACACAGAAATCTCAACCCCAATAAAATTTCAACAAGACCCAGGTGGGGAAAATCAATAAACGGGTAAGAACCCAAAATCTGCTGCTAGGAAGAAGCAGTGAATCTAGCGATTCCTGAGATTTTGGGTTGTGCTTGAAAGAAGCCAAGCAACCTACGACCAGAGAGATTAGCTTAAGAAATTTGAAGGTGCAAATCTGCAGCCACAAGACCCCAAACCAAATGGAGAACCAATTTGAGGTTGGTGACCAAATAGGCTTTGATTTATAGAGGGAAAGGAAGAGATGAAAATACACGCAATCTTATTATGATTAAAATAATAATATTGATATTAATAAGTTTAATTAACATTAATATTTCTTTAAAAAAAAGAACATTAAATATTTGTAATGCATGCCAATGACTGAATTATGCATGCAAATTGGAATCGTGAATTGATATCGTGGGCAAAGTGCTGACACATTTGATGCAAACTAGTTTAACAGTTGGCACTTATGGTAGTTTCACGGATCAAGAACAGTTGTCACTTATGTTCTTTTAATATTGTTTTAAAAAATGTTATATTTTTTATTATTATATATGACTCTTACTTAGAATGAGATAGAAATTAATTAAAGAAATATTTAAAAGTACGAACACCAGTTCATTAATTTATTTTTAGAAGACTAAAACTGCAAAGTTATTATGGTACATAAAAAAAATCTTTTAAGTTTATGAAACATTGATTATTATTTAATATAGCGAGAGATATTTAGACAAAATTAAATTAATCTTTCAATTATAATTGTGCCACTTTTTTAAAGTACATGGTATTTGTATTAATTATTTTTCATTAAATGAGGATAGTTCAAAGAAAAGTTAGAATACTATTGTTTTGAAAAAAAAAATTAAGATGAAAAGGCTATAATTTTGAAACAAATACAACATTTTAATTTATTTATCATGCATAATAATATTATTTAATATTACATATAACTGTTTTTTTTTTTATATTTATACATATCTTCAAAGTATAAACACAAACAACAACAAAATTATATTTTTCTTGGCTAAAAGAAGGGGATAGAGTTAGTGTCATGCTGATTTTTTTTAACGAATTTGTGTAAAAATTGACAAAATATAATGTTTTTTACCCTGAATAACTGTATTTAAGTTTCTTATTTTATTATTTTCACCTCTAATTCACTAAAAAATATATATTCTTAAATTAAGTACAAAATATAACCATAGTTAACAACACACGTTAATGAATGATGTCTTAAAATTTACTAGACATATACTATATATAAGTTAATATTAATTTAAAAATAAAATAATGAAATATCTTAAAAGTGATTAGATTTATTTAATTAGAAATATCATATAAGTTTGTGATTAAAAACTTTATATTTTATTTTCCTAAAACTATCTGTTCGAGCATACATCAAGAAAGATGGGGAAGTTTGGATTTTAGGTATTTACATTTTCATGCAAGCTGGCTTTTCTGCTCATATTTTCAGGTTTGTTTCCGACAAAGTAAAAGGAATGGTCTGCGATGACACAACGTGAGATTTTAGATTCAACTTTTTAGGTGCAGTTGTCAAATGAAATAAAATAAGAAATAAATTTTTTTTTTTTCAAAATAGAAAAATCGACGTTGCAACTTGTGTGCAACAGATAAAGGCATCGTGATTAGCCTATGTGACAAATAAATAATCTTATGTACGGAAAATAATTTAATATAAAAATGAAAAATAAAATAACTTGTATGAAATGATAATTGAAATTGGTTATTGGTTTTCTTACGTTTCTTAAATAGACACGTTTAATTCTTCAAAACCATCATCACCAAGGGACTTTCACAAACAATTCATTGGAATTGATTTGAAACATTTTTATTATGTAATTTAAGGACTATAATGTATTATCCAAATATAATAAGACAATAACGTGGAACACAACCACCATTCTCATCGCCGACATACATCTTGCCACTTAATACGTGTGTCTGCAACAGACATTTAGGTACTTTCCTTCTATCCAAACAATAAAAACAAAAAGGTGTATTTCCTAAAAATATAACAGTTTTTTTATTTTTATTTTTTTCATGAACTAATTATCGTCAATCAAATATAAGAGGGGTTTTGAAATTGCAAAATTCAAATATCGTTCTAAACACGTGATGTTTTTTTTTTATTTATATTTACTTTAATTTATTTTATTTTATTCTTTCGGACCAAACGAAAACGTTTGAAGAAAGTGAGAAGTGTGAGCCGCGGAAAATAGTGAACTTTGGAAGGAAAAGAAAGACAGAAAAATAGTGACGTGTGACAGTGAATAGGGCCTCATCAACGCTCATCTTAGAAGGCCCTTTAAATGACTTTTGGTAGCTCAATGGGCCAATGGCCCACACCTGTCGTTGTCATAAAAAATATGGGCCCATGAACCGACCAATGCATTCGATTGAAACGTTTCAAGCTTTATAACCCTTTCAACTCCCCCACCACATTTGTTTTCTACCGCTTTTATTTTATTTCTTAAATTTCTCCCAAAATAATACATGATTGAGTTACTGAAAATAAGATACGATAATAACTCCTGCAAATAATAATTAAAATTATAATAACTTTGATTGATTTATATGTATATCCATTTTATTATCACGTTAATTTAATCTTATTATATTTCACATTTTTAAATATATTTCTATTAATTTATAATAATAAGTAGTATTTTTATTTCGTTTTACTGCTATTTTAAAATCAAAATATTTTTCTACAGTCAATCAATTTTTAAAAATATAATATAAAAAAACTACTTGTAACTTTAATAAATGAAATCCTTGTGAGAAAAAAAATAAAAATATGATAAGGAAATGGTTTGTAATGTAAAATAAATAATGAGAATGTATTTGAATTTGAAGTCCTTGCAATTGCAACCACAAGTTTATGATAAAATAATTTGGCATCAGTGTTTAGTTAAAGCTATTTTTACCACATTTTTTTTATTGGATGTCCTATAATGTTAGATCTGTGTGCGTGCTGAGTAAGAACTGCACAATTTATTAACACTCACGCCAAGATATTTTTACTATAAAATTATTTTTAGGTTTGACTTAGAAATATAGATTATATATTTTTTTTCTCGATATAATTTTTTAATTAAGCAGTGTTTTATTCTCTATGTCGTTGTTTCTGGTGGAATTTCGATCGATTTCGATTCTAAGGGTGTTTTGGTCCTAATCAAAATTCTACCACGTAAGTTCTTTTTACTTAGGCTAGCAATTTGATTTTCAATCGAAAACGCGTATGAGAATTGAAAACTACGGGATATCGAAAATGTGGTTTTTGGTATTTTATGTCTAAAATGCTTGACTCAAACAAAACGAGTAAAGTATCGAATCGAGCAAAGAGAATATTAAATTGCAAGAAAGTGCGAAAACCCCGAATTTGCAAGAAATTAAGTTTGCGAGATAAATAAAGGACAGGAAATCGAAATGAGGTTTGAGGCTCCATAGGGAAACATGTTATAAACAGAAGAATGGATGAGACAAAGAGATCGAAAAGAACCTTCGATTTTTTCGAAGATGAAGTAGTGGTGGCCGATTGTTTTCGTTTCCTGGTGAAGGCCAGAGGGTCCGATTCGTCTGGGGACTCCCAGCTTGCGTCCTTTCCTTCCTCTTGTGCCTTCTCGAAGGCAACCACCTTAGTAGATTTTGAAACTGCCAAAGAATGAAGATAGTCAGTTTCCAAAACACAGAATCGAAAACTGAGAGAAAACAATAAAACCTCACCAAAAGGTGATGGAGTCAAAATTTTGACTCGATCAATATGTACTAGCCACGAAGGCAGGAGCTTAGGGAAGAAGACAAGTTTTCAGTAGAGGATAAAAGTTCGCGTAAAGCCAGAGTAAAGATAGGTTGAGAGGTTAAAAGGAAATCGTATAGGGAGATGGAACGACGGAGGTGAAAGGTAATAAATGCAGCGTACTGTGAAAACAGCAGACTGATATGATGGCGACGTAAAGAGGAAAAGAAACTTAAAACCCCTTTTAAACCTAGAACCCCAGAAACCCTAAACCCTAAACTCTAAACCCTGTGGACCTTCCAAACATTAAAGCGGGAATATTGAAAGAATATAAACTGAAATTATTCATATTCTTTCAAGGGGGCATTTGTTAGTAGCAAATCGAGAAACACAATCGGAATCGAAGGGAAAAGAAATATGACTCGATAAGATAAACAAATATTCATTCGATGTCCAAATTGAAACACGTAGCATATAACATCGAGAAGCACAATCGAGAAATGAACGAGCTTGTTGCCAAATAAAGACTAAGTCATAGTGTGGAATCGAGAAGTCCGATCGAGAAATGAATCGAAAGGGAACTTTCCTGATGTCGATTATAAAGAACGTGACACATAAAATCGAAAGGTAAAATTGGAAGAGTAGGCGTAATAGTCGAAAAGCTTAACATGGAGTTAAGGTTAAAATAAATCGATACCAGGTATGCAAAGTTCTCGATTAAATCAAAGGGAAGGCTCGTTTTCGTAGATATCATAACCTTGGCTAAACCTTGAAAGAAAGTAGTCAAAACGCACGTACTTGACAGCGTTTCTAAGTGATGGAAAAGTTGAAGATCGTGAGAACATGGGAAAGCTGTAAAAGAAAGCTGTCATACGCACGAAGAACGTGGTAGCAGTCTCGTTAGCTGCTCTTAGAAGGCTTGAACAACGCCCTATAAATAGAACAAAGAAAGGAGAAACA